TAAAGCCGGATCAATATTTAAGAAAAAGACAGATGTGAACAGAGAACGACTCAGGCCCAGAGGAGGCGGGCTGAAAGCTAGCCGGATAGGAGGCATGTGTGGGTGTGGTGGGTGTGGTGGAAGTATGGGTGTGTGATTTAGCTAAGGAGTAGGGTGGGGTCATATAAATAGGTGACATTTTGTCTGCTACCTCAGCCATCTTAAATTTAATGGCAAGGTAACTAGTCCCCTGTGCTAGCCTTTAGTTACTTTGCTTACCTCACGGCCAGGAGCATGGATATTGAAGGCATCCTTGCTGCCCTTAGGGCTGAGGCCCTCCAGGACGGTGGCAGGCACCTGCAGGCCCAGCTGGCAAGGCTGCAGGGTGCCTCTGTGGTAGCTGCTCCCCCTCCCGGCAGCCATGGAGCCCCGCGCCGCCGGGCGCGTCCCCCCACCCGTTATAGCCCCTCACAGGAGGGCCGGGTGGGGGCCAGAAGTAGGAGCCCAGCTGCCGGTCCGCGGGCCGGTTCCCACGCGGCCGCGGCCGGCACTGACACCAGGCATTCTCCTGCCTCCTCCCCGAGCCCCTCACAGGAAGGCTGGGTGGGGGGCTGGAGGCAGGAGCACAGCTGCCGGTCCGCGGGCCGGTTCCCACGCGGCCGCGGCCGGCGCAGCTATCAGCCATCCTCCTGTCTCCTCCCCTCGCGAGAGGGCCGGGTGAGGGACGGGAGTGGGATCCCCAGTGCCGGCACGCGCGCCAGCTCTCATGTGGCCGCGGCCGGCACATCTCTGCAGCCTCTCTCCTCCTCCCCGAGGCGGTCGCGCAGTGCCCGTCTGGCGGCCGCTGCTCGGGGAGGTGACAGCCGCCCAGGACTTCTTACCATCGGCTCGCGGGCCCTCAGAAGGGCGGCCGCGAGCTCCCGGTCGGCTAATCCAGCCCGGCCGGCGCGCCGGGTGCCTGATGTGCGCTCTGCCCCCTCCGGATCTCGGGCAGGGCGCGCACAGGTTGGGCCTGCATCCACCTCTCCTTCCAGGGCGGTAAGTGGGCCGCAGGCCACCGGGGATTTCGGGAGGGGGTTGGGGGGTTCGGGGGGTAGGGGCCCAGCGCCAGGCCCATCTTTCAACTGTCACAGCCCCCCCCCTTCTCCTTCTCCCCCCTCTGTCTCCCCTGGGCCTGCCTTTCCTGCACTCCCACTACCCTCATCCGTCCAGCCACTCCCACTACCCTCATCCGTCCAGCCTCCCCACTTGTATTCCCCCCCCTCCCTCCCACCTTTACCTAGGGCCCATGCTAACCCCCCTGGGGCTACCTCAGGCATGGCTATCCCAATCCCTGGTTCCCCTGTCCCACTCTCTGGTCCCCCTGTCCTATCTACTAATTTGCCAGGGTTGCCCCCCCCTACTGCGCATCTTCCAGCACCTGGGACGGGTGGGTCGGGTTTTTTCTCACCTGTCCTGTCTTCGCAGATTCTTCCAGGTCAGCTCGCTAACCGGGTCCCTGACGCTGTGCCTGGTGCGGTGCTTCCTGCGGTCGCAGTTCCCTCGCAAGTCGCGGTTCCGCTCCTACCCTCCAATTCGGCTCCTGCCGGTGAGTATTCCGCTTTTGCCGGATCAGAATCAGGGGGCGCTGGCGCACGCGAGTCGCAAGAATGGGGTTCGGTGCTCCAAGCGATAAGGAATGCTCTTGTAACTCTTGAGCGGGAATCTCGCCCTGGGGCTCCCCCCCCAACGGCCGTGGATAGCCAGCTTCGGGCGGGCTGGGCTAGTTCCGCAGGATGTGAGGTTGCGGGGGTTGCGGCAGCGTTACCCGACGCTTCTACGCAGGTCACCATCCCTCTGGCTGCGGCGCCTCCGCTAGTAGCATCTGAGTCTTCAGCGAGTCCTACGGGGGTCACCGCGGTTGTCTCGGGTTTAGGGGTAGCACCCGCTGCGCATGGGGCAGCGTACATGTCCTGGTCAGGCCCTCTGGGCCTCCATCTGACGCCTGATTTGAGGGCTAAAATAGAAAAAGGAGAATTTGTTGAAATTTTTTCCCTCCTCCCTTTGGAAGATCTTCCTCGGGTGGATGCAGATGCAAAAGAGTCTGAAAAAGACAAAGAGAAGTTTCGGTATCGGAAGATTCCGAAAACGTTTGGTAACTGGATTAGGGCCTTTTCTATCCTAGCTAGCGTGATAGGTGAAAAGACTCCCAGTAAATGCTCTTCCCTATTTTGCTACCAGGACATGATATGGAATGCCTGTCGGGTTTATGGCGGGCTAGGGTGGTGGCGGTATGATGAACAGTTCCGCCAACGTTTGGCGGTTCGCCCTCACACGAGTTGGGTTCAAATGGATATCGGCTTGTGGTTGGCCATCATGACCCGCCCAGCTTCGCATCAAGGGGGCCTTTCGTCCTTTCTTGGGGGGGGCGGCGCTGGGTCCTCATCTTCAGCGTCGGCCACTCAGCGGAGGACTGGGTACTGTTGGCAATATAACGACGGCCAATGTAAGTTCGGTTCCGCCTGCCGCTTCAAGCATGAATGTTCCGGGTGCGGCAGTTCCCACCCAGCATCGAAATGCTTCAAGCGAGGTAGGACCGGCGACAAAGGAGATGCCATGGGCGCTAAGGGCGAGGACGCCGGTGGACGTAGACGCGATGCGCCCTTGGCTAAAGCGTTATAGCAATAAGAAGGTGGCTGCCTTGTTATTGGAGGGTTTTGGACAAGGGTTTTGGATCCCTCACCGGGCCCGGCAGGTCTCCGGCTTCTGCCGGAACCTGAGATCAGTTGCCGATCACCCGGGGGTGGTAAGGGAAAAATTGGCTAAGGAGGTAGCGTTGGGTCGCATGGCGGGCCCCTTTCGAGAGCCTCCACTACTTGATTTGAGGGTTTCACCACTGGGTGTGGTACCCAAAAGGGAACCAGGCAAGTTTAGGCTGATTCACCATTTATCGCATCCACAAGGGGGCTCGGTGAATGATGACATTGCCGCTGAATTGTGCCGCGTTTCCTACGCGTCCTTTGACGCGGCGGTGGATATGGTCAGGGCTGCTGGCCCCGGGGCACTTATGGCAAAAACTGACATTGAGTCGGCTTTTCGCCTCCTACCGGTTCACTCGGAGTGCCACCACCTCCTGGGTTGTATATTCGAAGGTCATTATTACGTGGACATGTGCCTCCCGATGGGTTGTGCGATATCCTGTTTTTACTTCGAATGTTTTAGTTCCTTCATGGAATGGGTAGTTAGAGCGGAATCCGGTTACGATTCCTTGCTTCACTACCTGGATGACTTTTTCTGTGTTGGCCCTGCGCGCTCCCCGATATGAGCGCACCTCCTGCAAGCAGTAGCGGATGTTGCTTGCGAGTTCGGAGTGCCGCTGGCACCAGAAAAAACAATTGGCCCTTCTACGTGCCTGTGCTTTCTCGGGATCGAGATTGATTCCGTTGTTGGTGAATGTCGGCTTCCATTGGATAAATTGGCTGATCTTCGGGAGGTGGTGCGAGTGGCGACCACTTTGCGGAAAATTACGTTGCAGCGACTTCAATCCCTATTGGGCAAATTGAACTTTGCCTGTCGGATTATGCCGATGGGCAGGGTGTTCAACCGGCGCCTGGCGGCCGCTAGGGCTGGTATTTTGAAACCGTCTCACTTCGTCCGCTTGACCAAGGCGCTCAGGGAGGACTTGGCAGTATGGGCAGTCTTTTTGGATGGGTACAACGGCAGGTCCTACTGGCAGCAGCCCGAGGTGACGAACTCGGTGCTGCACCTGTTTACGGATGCCGCGGGGTCTTCGGGGCTATTATGGGAAGGCAATGGTGTGCGGAGCCTTGGCCCGAATCGTGGTTCACCTCTGGCCTGACCAAGAACATGGCTTTCTTGGAACTCTTCCCCATTGTGGTGGCTATCCATCTTTGGGGGCCAGAGATCAAGAACAGGCGTGTTGTGTTCCACTGTGACAACCTGGGCGTTGTCCAGGCCATTAATAGGCTAACGGCCTCCTCCCCTCCTGTAGTTCGGCTCTTGCGGCGCTTAGTTTTACAATGTCTGTCTTTTAATGTGACTTGCCGCGCTGTGCATATCCCTGGTGTGGAGAATACCACGGCTGATGCTCTTTCTCGTTTCCACTGGCAGGTGTTTCGTTTGGCCGCGCCGGAAGCGGACACGGAAGGCCTCCCCTGTCCCAGAGACTTATGGTCCCTTGGCCTGAGCGGATAAGGGAATGGATTCGGTCTTCGGTGTCTGAGGCAACTTGGGTTCGGTACGGTAAGGCATGGGGGGACTGGGTTGCTTTGGAACAAGACCTAGGTGGGTTTGATTCGACCTCTGCAAGGGTTCAGGGGATCTGAACGGTTGCTCTGGTTCTGGGAGGCTAGCGGGTGTTCTCCGGCTACGGTTTCAGGGAAGCTATCCGGTCTTAGTTTCTGGTTCAACTTGACTAAGGTGCCTGACGTTACCAAGGACTGCATGGTTCGACTTGCGATGCGCGGCTGGCGCAAGGGCCCACACCTGCGGGATTCTCGGAGGCCGGTTTCTGGCACTCTGCTAGTAGGCATTGCGTCGGTCTTACCCAGGGTTTGTTTTTCAGATTCGGAGTCACGTTTGTTCCAGTTGGCTTTTACTTTCGCCTTTTTCGGCGCCCTTCGAATCGGTGAGCTTGTGAGCCCTAGCAAACGGATCCCGGGGGGCTTGTTGTTCAACGATGTGTCTGTGGTGTCGGATTCAGTGCGTTTTTGGTACGAAGGTCCAAAACCGACATCTTCGGCAAAGGGGCATGGGTTACCCTCCGCACTATTCCGGGTTCGGCTGTCTGCCCTGTCGCATCTTTTCAGTCTTATTGTCTTGGTCGCCCGGACGTTGAGGGCCCTCTACTAATTCATGGGGACGGTTCCTTCCTTTCTCGGTTCCAATTTCTTCGGGTCTTTCGGTTGGCACTCGACCAACTGGGTATTTCGAGTACAGACTTTGGGGGACATTCTTTTCGAATTGGGGCCGCAACTGAAGCCTCCCGTTTAGGTTTTTTGGACCAGGCCATTCAGAGGATTGGCAGATGGGAATCGGGGAGGTTTCGGTCTTATGTACGGCCCACACGTCTGATCGGTGTCCCCCTTGTGTTTTCTCCACAGGGCCTGGCCGACGGATCTGGTTGATCGGTCATTCGTACATCTACTGGGCTCACCTGCGGGCTGGGGTACGCCCGGGTGGGACACTGCTCGGAATACCTCGGGAGCTGGCGGAGGTCCGGTGGTTCGGGTTCCGGGGCATGAGATGGGGTCAGCTATTACCGGAGGTCGTGCAGTTATCCACTTTATTAGGAGCCCCGGACATCTTGGTGGTGCATCTGGGGGGGAACGATCTGGGGTCCCTGCCTGCGTGGGGGCTGGGGGAACTCATCAGGCGAGATTTGGCGCGCTTGCGTGTGCTTTTTCCACGACTTTGTTTAATATGGTCAGATATCGTTTCTAGAAACTATTGGAAGTGCGCACGCGATCAGGGTGCTATTGAGCGCTGCAGGGTCAAGATTAATAAGCGGGTTTCCAAATTTGTCCTAGGCGTCGGGGGCTTAACAGTGCGACACCGTATTTTTGAGCGCGAGGCAGCAATCTATTTTCGCCCGGACGGGTCCATCTAACTGACGTAGGCTTGGACTTATTTAATTTAGCGCTACAGGACGCGTTGGAACAGGCCATGGCGTTGCTTGGGGGTCGCGCCCGCTGATTTAGGCGTAAATGCAGCTGGGGCTAGTGGCGGGTATGGTCCTTGCTGAACCTATTGGGAAGAGGAGTAAAGAAAAAGAAAGATGCTGGGTCGGGTCCCTCCCCTGACCTCGAAAATGTTTTGGGTATTTGGGCGTGCCCTCCGTGCCAGGAAAGGTGGCCAGGGGTTGGCATGTGGAGTTTGAAGGCCAAAGTGAAGGCCAGGTATCTTGGACGAGGGGGGAGGGCCGATGGCTTGGTGGGGGGTGTACCCTAGAGTTTTGGTGGTACGGTTGGCAAGGACTAGTTTGAAGATAAGCATACTTACACCTAAATTATTTATGGTTGGTTTATTTACAGTTGTTTGTTAATTTATAAATAAAGCTGTGGCCTTTTTATACCACATATACGTTTCCTAGTTTGATTGGGGGGGGGAATTGAGCGATTTTGGGGATTGTTATGGTTCACACCACACGATAACCGCTACCTACACACAAGGCCCAGAGGAGGCGGGCTGAAAGCTAGCCGGATAGGAGGCATGTGTGGGTGTGGTGGAAGTATGGGTGTGTGATTTAGCTAAGGAGTAGGGTGGGGTCATATAAATAGGTGACATTTTGTCTGCTACCTCAGCCATCTTAAATTTAACGGCAAGGTAACTAGTCCCCTGTGCTAGCCCTTAGTTACTTTGCTTACCTCACGGCCAGGAGCATGGATATTGAAGGCATCCTTGCTGCCCTTAGGGCTGAGGCACTCCAGGACGGTGGCAGGCACCTGCAGGCCCAGCTGGCAAGGCTGCAGGGTGCCTCTGTGGTAGCTGCTCCCCCTCCCGGCAGCCACGGAGCTCCGCGCCGCCGGGCGCGTCCCCCCACCCGTTATAGCCCCTCACAGGAGGGCCGGGTGGGGGCCAGAAGTAGGAGCCCAGCTGCCGGTCCGCGGGCCGGTTCCCACGCGGCCGCGGCCGGCGCTGACACCAGGCATTCTCCTGCCTCCTCCCCGAGCCCCTCACAGGAAGGCTGGGTGGGGGCTGGAGGCAGGAGCACAGCTGCCGGTCCGCGGGCCGGTTCCCACGCGGCCGCGGCCGGAGCTGCCATCAGCCATCCTCCTGTCTCCTCCCCGAGCCCCTCGCGAGCAGGCCGGGTAGGGGCTGGAGGCAGGAGTCAGGCTGCCGGTCCGCGGGCCGGTTCCCACGCGGCCGCGGCCGGCGCAGCTATCAGCCATCCTCCTGTCTCCTCCCTGAGCTCCTCGCGAGAGGGCCGGGTGAGGGATGGGAGTGGGATCCCCAGTGCCGGCACGCGCGCCAGCTCTCATGTGGCCGCGGCCGGCACATCTCTGCAGCCTCTCTCCTCCTCCCCGAGGCGGTCGCGCAGTGCCCGTCTGGCGGCCGCTGCTCGGGGAGGTGACAGCCGCCCAGGACTTCTTACCATCGGCTCGCGGGCCCTCAGAAGGGCGGCCGCGAGCTCCCGGTCGCTAATCCAGCCCGGCCGGCGCGCCGGGTGCCTGATGTGCGCTCTGCCCCCTCCGGATCTCGGGCAGGGCGCGCACAGGTTGGGCCTGCATCCACCTCTCCTTCCAGGGCGGTAAGTGGGCCGCAGGCCACCGGGGATTTCGGGAGGGGGTTGGGGTGTTCGGGGGGTAGGGGCCCAGCGCCAGGCCCATCTTTCAACTGTCACAGCCCCCCCCCTTCTCCTTCTCCCCCCTCTGTCTCCCCTGGGCCTGCCTTTCCTGCACTCCCACTACCCTCATCCGTCCAGCCACTCCCACTACCCTCATCCGTCCAGCCTCCCCACTTGTATTCCCCCCCCTCCCTCCCACCTTTACCTAGGGCCCATGCTAACCCCCCTGGGGCTACCTCAGGCATGGCTATCCCAATCCCTGGTTCCCCTGTCCCACTCTCTGGTCCCCCTGTCCTATCTACTAATTTGCCAGGGTTGCCCCCCCCTACTGCGCATCTTCCAGCACCTGGGACGGGTGGGTCGGGTTTTTTCTCACCTGTCCTGTCTTCGCAGATTCTTCCAGGTCAGCTCGCTAACCGGGTCCCTGACGCTGTGTCTGGTGCGGTGCTTCCTGCGGTCGCAGTTCCCTCGCAAGTCGCGGTTCCGCTCCTACCCTCCAATTCGGCTCCTGCCGGTGAGTATTCCGCTTTTGCCGGATCAGAATCAGGGGGCGCTGGCGCACGCGAGTCGCAAGAATGGGGTTCGGTGCTCCAAGCGATAAGGAATGCTCTTGTAACTCTTGAGCGGGGATCTCGCCCTGGGGCTCCCCCCCCAACGGCCGTGGATAGCCAGCTTCGGGCGGGCTGGGCTAGTTCCGCAGGATGTGAGGTTGCGGGGGTTGCGGCAGCGTTACCCGACGCTTCTACGCAGGTCACCATCCCTCTGGCTGCGGCGCCTCCGCTAGTAACAGCTGATTCTTCAGCGAGTCCTACGGGGGTCACCGCGGTTGTCTCGGGTTTAGGGGTAGCACCCGCTGCGCATGGGGCAGCGTACATGTGCTGGTCAGGCCCTCTGGGCCTCCATCTGACGCCTGATTTGAGGGCTAAAATAGAAAAAGGAGAATTTGTTGAAATTTTTTCCCTCCTCCCTTTGGAAGATCTTCCTCGGGTGGATGCAGATGCAAAAGAGTCTGAAAAAGACAAAGAGAAGTTTCGGTATCGGAAGATTCCGAAAACTTTTGGTAACTGGATTAGGGCTTTTTCTATCCTAGCTAGCGTGATAGGTGAAAAGACTCCCAGTAAATGCTCTTCCCTATTTTGCTACCAGGACATGATATGGAATGCCTGTCGGGTTTATGGCGGGCTAGGGTGGTGGCGGTATGATGAACAGTTCCGCCAACGTTTGGCGGTTTGCCCTTCCACGAGTTGGGATCAAATGGATATCGGCTTGTGGTTGGCCATCATGACCCGCCCAGCTTCGCATCAAGGGGGCCTTTCGTCCTTTCTTGGGGGGGCCGGCGCTGGGTCCTCATCTTCAGCGTCGGCCACTCAGCGGAGGACTGGGTACTGTTGGCAATATAACGACGGCCAATGTAAGTTCGGTTCCGCCTGCCGCTTCAAGCATGAATGTTCCGGGTGCGGCGGTTCCCACCCAGCATCAAAATGCTTCAAGCGAGGTAGGACCGGCGACAAAGGAGATGCCATGGGCGCTAAGGGCGAGGACGCCGGTGGACGTAGACGCGATGCGCCCTTGGCTAAAGCGTTATAGCAATAAGAAGGCGGCTGCCTTGTTATTGGAGGGTTTTGGACAAGGGTTTTGGATCCCTCACCGGGCCCGGCAGGTCTCCGGCTTCTGCCGGAACCTGAGATCAGTTGCCGATCACCCGGGGGTGGTAAGGGAAAAATTGGCTAAGGAGGTAGCGTTGGGTCGCATGGCGGGCCCCTTTCGAGAGCCTCCACTACTCGATTTGAGGGTTTCACCACTGGGTGTGGTACCCAAAAGGGAACCAGGCAAGTTTAGGCTGATTCACCATTTATCGCATCCTCAAGGGGGCTCGGTGAATGATGACATTGCCGCTGAATTGTGCCGCGTTTCCTACGCGTCCTTTGACGCGGCGGTGGATATGGTCAGGGCTGCTGGCCCCGGGGCACTTATGGCAAAAACGGACATTGAGTCGGCTTTTCGCCTCCTACCGGTTCACCCGGAGTGCCACCACCTCCTGGGTTGTATATTCGAAGGTCATTATTACGTGGACATGTGCCTCCCGATGGGTTGTGCGATATCCTGTTTTTACTTCGAATGTTTTAGTTCCTTCATGGAATGGGTAGTTAGAGCGGAATCCGGTTACGATTCCTTGCTTCACTACCTGGATGACTTTTTCTGTGTTGGCCCTGCGCGCTCCCCGATATGCGCGCACCTCCTGCAAGCAGTAGCGGATGTTGCTTGCGAGTTCGGAGTGCCGCTGGCACCAGAAAAAACAATTGGCCCTTCTACGTGCCTGTGCTTTCTCGGGATCGAGATTGATTCCGTTGTTGGTGAATGTCGGCTTCCATTGGATAAATTGGCTGATCTTCGGGAGGTGGTGCGAGTGGCGACCACTTTGCGAAAAATTACGTTGCAGCGACTTCAATCCCTATTGGGCAAATTGAACTTTGCCTGTCGGATTATGCCGATGGGCAGGGTGTTCAACCGGCGCCTTGCGGCCGCTACGGCTGGGATTTTGAAACCGTCTCACTTCGTCCGCTTGACCAAGGCGCTCAGGGAGGACTTGGCAGTATGGGCAGTCTTTTTGGATGGGTACAACGGCAGGTCCTACTGGCAGCAGCCCGAGGTGACGAACTCGGTGCTGCACCTGTTTACGGATGCCGCGGGGTCTTCGGGCTTTGGGGCTATCATGGGAAGGCAATGGTGTGCGGAGCCCTGGCCCGAATCGTGGTTCACCTCTGGCCTGACCAAGAACATGGCTTTCTTGGAACTCTTCCCCATTGTGGTGGCTATCCATCTTTGGGGGCCAGAGATCAAGAACAGGCGTGTTGTGTTCCACTGTGACAACCTGGGCGTTGTCCAGGCCATTAATAGGCTAACGGCCTCCTCCCCTCCTGTAGTTCGGCTCTTGCGGCGCTTGGTTTTACAATGTCTGTCTTTTAATGTGACTTGCCGCGCTGTGCATATCCCTGGTGTGGAGAATACCACGGCTGATGCTCTTTCTCGTTTCCACTGGCAGGTGTTTCGTTTGGCCGCGCCGGAAGCGGACACGGAAGGCCTCCCCTGTCCCAGAGACTTATGGTCCCTTGGCCTGAGCGGATAAGGGAATGGATTCGGTCTTCGGTGTCTGAGGCAACTTGGGTTCGGTACGGTAAGGCATGGGGGGACTGGGTTGCTTTGGAACAAGACCTAGGTGGGTTTGATTCGACCTCTGCAAGGGTTCAGGGGATCTTACGGTTGCTCTGGTTCTGGGAGGCTAGCGGGTGTTCTCCGGCTACGGTTTCAGGGAAGCTATCCGGTCTTAGTTTCTGGTTCAACTTGACTAAGGTGCCTGACGTTACCAAGGACTGCATGGTTCGACTTGCGATGCGCGGCTGGCGCAGGGGCCCACACCTGCGGGATTCTCGGAGGCCGGTTTCTGGCGCTCTGCTAGTAGGCATTGCGTCGGTCTTACCCAGGGTTTGTTTTTCAGATTCGGAGGCACGTTTGTTCCAGTTGGCTTTTACTTTCGCCTTTTTCGGCGCCCTTCGAATCGGTGAGCTTGTGAGCCCTAGCAAACGGATCCCGGGGGGCTTGTTGTTCAACGATGTGTCTGTGGTGTCGGATTCAGTGCGTTTTTTGGTACGAAGGTCCAAAACCGACATCTTCGGCAAAGGGGCATGGGTTACCCTCCGCGCTATTCCGGGTTCGGCTGTCTGCCCTGTCGCATCTTTTCAGTCTTATTGTCTTGGTCGCCCGGACGTTGAGGGCCCTCTACTAATTCATGGGGACGGTTCCTTCCTTTCTCGGTTCCAATTTCTTCGGGTCTTTCGGTTGGCACTCGACCAACTGGGTATTTCGAGTGCAGACTTTGGGGGACATTCTTTTCGAATTGGGGCCGCAACTGAAGCCTCCCGTTTAGGTTTTTCGGACCAGGCCATTCAGAGGATTGGCAGATGGGAATCGGGGAGGTTTCGGTCTTATGTACGGCCCACACGTTTGATCGGTGTCCCCCTTGTGTTTTCTCCACAGGGCCTGGCCGACGGATCTGGTTGATCGGTCATTCGTACATCTACTGGGCTCACCTGCGGGCTGGGGTACGCCCGGGTGGGACACGGCTCGGAATACCTCGGGAGCTGGCGGAGGTCCGGTGGTTCGGGTTCCGGGGCATGAGATGGGGTCAGCTATTACCGGAGGTCGTGCAGTTATCCACTTTATTAGGAGCCCCGGACATCTTGGTGGTGCATCTGGGGGGGAACGATCTGGGGTCCCTGCCTGCGTGGGGGCTGGGGGAACTCATCAGGCGAGATTTGGCGCTCTTGCGTGTGCTTTTTCCACGACTTTGTTTAATATGGTCAGATATCGTTTCTAGGAACTATTGGAAGTGCGCACGCGATCAGGGTGCTATTGAGCGCTGCAGGGTCAAGATTAATAAGCGGGTTTCCAAATTTGTCCTAGGCGTCGGGGGCTTAACAGTGCGACACCGTATTTTTGAGCGCGAGGCAGCAATCTATTTTCGCCCGGACGGGGTCCATCTAACTGACGTAGGCTTGGACTTATTTAATTTAGCGCTACAGGACGCGTTGGAACAGGCCATGGCGTTGCTTGGGGGTCGCGCCCGCTGATTTAGGCGTAAATGCAGCTGGGGCTAGTGGCGGGTATGGTCCTTGCCGAACCTATTGGGAAGAGGAGTAAAGAAAAAGAAAGATGCTGGGTCGGGTCCCTCCCCTGACCTCGAAAATGTTTTGGGTATTTGGGCGTGCCCTCCGTGCCAGGAAAGGTGGCCAGGGGTTGGCATGTGGAGTTTGAAGGCCAAAGTGAAGGCCAGGTATCTTGGACGAGGGGGGAGGGCCGATGCCTTGGTGGGGGGTGTACCCTAGAGTTTTGGTGGTACGGTTGGCAAGGACTAGTTTGAAGATAAGCATACTTACACCTAAATTATTTATGGTTGGTTTATTTACAGTTGTTTGTTAATTTATAAATAAAGCTGTGGCCTTTTTTATACCACATATATACGTTTCCTAGTTTGATTGGGGGGGAATTGAGCGATTTTGGGGATTGTTATGGTTCACACCACACGATAACCGCTACCTACACACAAGGCCCAGAGGAGGCGGGCTGAAAGCTAGCCGGATAGGAGGCATGTGTGGGTGTGGTGGGTGTGGTGGAAGTATGGGTGTGTGATTTAGCTAAGGAGTAGGGTGGGGTCATATAAATAGGTGACATTTTGTCTGCTACCTCAGCCATCTTAAATTTAACGGCAAGGTAACTAGTCCCCTCCCTCCCCTGTTTGTTTGCGTTGTTTGTCTGTTTGTCATTAACAATTTTTTCTTGTCACAGCCGGCGGGTATGGTCCTTGCCGAACCTATTGGGAAGAGGAGTAAAGAAAAAGAAAGATGCTGGGTCGGGTCCCTCCCCTGACCTCGAAAATGTTTTGGGTATTTGGGCGTGCCCTCCGTGCCAGGAAAGGTGGCCAGGGGTTGGCATGTGGAGTTTGAAGGCCAAAGTGAAGGCCAGGTATCTTGGACGAGGGGGGAGGGCCGATGCCTTGGTGGGGGGTGTACCCTTTTTTTTTTGGTGGTACGGTTGGCAAGGACTAGTTTGAAGATAAGCATACTTACACCTAAATTATTTATGGTTGGTTTATTTACAGTTGTTTGTTAATTTATAAATAAAGCTGTGGCCTTTTTATACCACATATACGTTTCCTAGTTTGATTGGGGGGGAATTGAGCGATTTGGGTTATTGTTATGGTTCACACCACACGATAACCGCTACCTACACACAAGATAGCTGATCTCTGTGGAGCAGAAGCAATAAAATTAACCCACAAAACATATAGCTAAAAAAATAATTAAAATTAAGAGGGAAATACAGGCACTCTCAGCATCGAAAATGGAATGGCAACTAAGGAAATTAATCTTATTTTATGCAAGGGAATAGAGCAGGAAGAATGTTAGCGAATCAATTAAAAACTAAGTATTTACAGTCAAAATGACCCTATATGTCAATGTCAGATAATAACAATGTTAACCCTCAGGATATAGTCGAGGAGTTAGCATTTTTTTACTCTAAGCTATATAACCTACAGTCTGATATTAACACATATCAACCCTCTGGAGTAGAAATACAAAATTATCTGAAAGAAGTAAATCTTCCGTGCATTACGCCAGAGCAAGGTTTATCCCTGAATGCACAATTCTCAGAAGAGGAGGTTAGAGAAGCAATTCGAAAACTTCCTAACCATAAGGCACCGGGCCCAGATGGGTTTCCAAATAATTATTATATAGTTTTTGAGGCCCAGCTGGTCCCGCACCTTACCAAACTTTTCAATTATTTTAAAAATTCAGGTACAATACCCGAAGAAATGTTAGTAGCCCATATAATTACGATACCAAATCCAGGCAAATCACCAACACTATGTGCAAATTTAAGACCCATTTTATTATTAAATTCAGATACAAAATTATATGCTAAATTACTGGCAGCACGCCTAAAACCGTTAATAGTGGATCTGGTTTCACCAGAACAGGCGGGATTCGTCCCTAACAGACAACCAGGAGAAAACAAACGCTGCTGCTTAAATTTAATTACTTGGGTACATCTTAGTAACCAACAAGGTTTATTGCTGGCACTCGACGCTGAAAAATCGTTTGACCGCTTGAATTGGCAATACATGGAAGAAGTATTTTTGAGCATGGGTTTCCCTTTAGCATTTCTTCAAAGTATTTTAGTTCTTTACTCTCGACCAGCAGCGAAAATAAGCAATTCTGGTTTTCTTTCCCGTCTGTTTTATATTACTAATGGCTCCAGACAGGGATGCCCTCTTTCACCATTAATCTTGATTTTGTATATGGAGCCCTTAATAAGACATGTTAAAAACCATAAAGGGATACAGTGACTGAATACCCCTACGGGTGTCTCAAAAATAGTTCTTTATGCGGATGATGTTTTTCTTTTTTTAACTAATCCAGATTTATCAATTCCAATTTTATTAAAGACACTGCAAAGATTTGGAGAGATATCATACTATAAAAATAACCCCAAAAAAATCTCAAGCATTGTCTATTGGTCTTCCCACATCTGTGGTACACGCAGTACAAAATACACATCCTTTTGACTGGTGGAAAAAGTCAATAACATACTTAGGAATTAAACTTCCTTCCACACATAATTTAATTATAAAAGAGAATCATCTACCACTTATAATTAAACTAGAGCAACAATTGAGAAAATGGGAAGCCAAAAGCATATATTGGCTGGGCCGAATACACACTAAAAAAATTATGGTTTTACCACATATTTTGTACCTCTTCCGTACTCTCCCAATTGCTTTACCGAACACAATAGTAAGTAAATTTCAAATTTTAATAAACGCACACATCTTGTAAAGGAAATCTCCCCGAGTAAAGCAGAACTTGCCAACTAGGATAGCTCATATATACGCAGGGGCATCACATTTATGTTGGCACTGCCTTAAACAGGAGGGCACTCTATATCACATCTTTTGGTTATGTCCAGGTATTGCTAAGCTCTGGAAAGAATTGGGAAGGTTTTTTCAAAATGATTTGAAAGCAGTGATACCTACCCAACCCGAATGTTGTTTATTACCTATGTTTTCTATTCCGCTCCCAGAAGAGGTTATTTATATTATTATCCACAGTTTGATAGCAACTAAAACGGCTATTTCATACAGCTGGAAAAAAATACAGACTCCTTTATTGTCATAGATAATGATAAGATTAGACTCCTCGTGTACTTATGAAATGATGACTGGTCGTTTGAAAGGACAGGAAACTTTATACAAAAAAAGGTGGAATAAATGGTTAGAAATAAGAGATAGATATGTTTAAAGGGACACTATAGTCACCTGAACAACTTTAGCTTAATGAAGCAGTTTTGGTGTATAGAACATGCCCCTGCAGCCTCACTGCTCAATCCTCTGCCATTTAGGAGTTAAATCCCTTTGTTTATGAACCCTAGTCACACCTCCCTGCATGTGACTTGCACAGCCTTCCATAAACACTTCCTGTAAAGAGAGCCCTATTTAGGCTTTCTTTATTGCAAGTTCTGTTTAATTAAGATTTTCTTATCCCCTGCTATGTTAATAGCTTGCTAGACCCTGCAAGAGCCTCCTGTATGTGATTAAAGTTCAATTTAGAGATTGAGATACAATTATTTAAGGTAAATTACATCTGTTTGAAAGTGAAACCAGTTTTTTTTCCATGCAGGCTCTGTCATTCATAGCCAGGGGAGGTGTGGCTAGGGCTGCATAAACAGAAACAAAGTGATTTAACTCCTAAATGACAGTGAATTGAGCAGTGAAATTGCAGGGGAATGATCTATACACTAAAACTGCTTTATTTAGCTAAAGTAATTTAGGTGACTATAGTGTTCCTTTAAAGACTATAATGAGAGCTGGACTCATGAGGGATTTAGCTCAATAGGCTGTTGTTCTATCCCCCATTCCCCACCCCTCCTTGATACAATCCTTTATAAGAACGTAAATTACTCTTTTGATTTGGATCGAGAGGAAGTTATAGCTTTCAGTGGTTTCTCTTAACTTTAAGCAAATGAATATTGATTTAAAAAAAAAATAGAGAAAGGAAAAGAATTTGAAAAATATTGTTGTAATCAATTGTCTTACGTGAATGAATGCATACTGTTATGTGAATAATATTGTTTTTAATAGTGTGTAATTATAGACTAAACTAAGTATGTACTGTTCCCTTTTTTCCCCCCTCTTCTCTCTTCTGTATCCCAATATTATATATATATGCATAAAATATTAACAACAATAAAAAATTATACAAGAATTGACTTTAGCCAATGTCTAACGACACTGCGGATATGGAGTTACACTTCCAGCAGTACAGGGGTTAATAGTAAAACCATGCCTCCATTTAAGTCATGAAAGTGACCAAGGTGCTTGGACAAATCCTTTAAATCTAATCTGCCACTGGTCTGTCCAGTGCCCCAATTTACCAAAATCCCTGTAGTGAAGTGTATCCTGCCCTCCCCATATTATTTTACTTTCCTGTCATCTGTAAACAGTGACACGTGACTTACCACCCACTTACCACCTTTGTCCAACTTAAAAGTTGTTCATTAACAGCTACCCTCAACACTTTATATTTAACCCAGTGTGCAATCCAAGAATTATAATTATCATCTAAACACCTCCCTTTAAATGTGTACAGTAACATTTTATGTGGAACTGTATGAAACAAAATCCACCGGAACACTCAAAAGTCTGAGTTGGAATTTCACCGACATTCCCACGCAACCAAGAAACAGAGTAGGAACTATTTTGTCTTATGTACACATTAGGTCATGGCAAAAGGGAGATCATTCATGAGTTTCTGTTTGCGGTACTTTGTAAGCCTGTCGCAAGATCATTTGTGGAGGATTCTTCAGTCTTGTGGGGTCTATCACAGACCTTCGTTAGTGGCATAGGTTTACAACCAATTTGTTTGAAAGTCACTTTAATTCTTACTGCAAGCGGGAAATATTATTCAAACCTTTGATAACCTTTTGTACTGAATGGACTTTCTGAGCATCGCACAGCAGCTAAAAAATAATGTTTCCCATAATTCCACTTTTTTGCTGTATTGCAAAATGTATGTTTTTAAAGCGGTACTTTCGATTTCATTGTTTAACATGTTTAAAGAACTGATCTACGTCACTTTGAACGCTAATTCTATGTCTTAAAGTGACACTTTGATGTGAACTGTTCCATAATGAAATGTCAAGCAAATAAAATACTTGATATTAAAGGAAATGATTTTCTGTTTTTCAGAAGAAACACGTTAAAAAAAATAAAGTTGTAAATATTTCTTAATTAGTTGGCCTTTCCCTTGGAACTTCAGGTTCCATCACCGACTAATCTATTTCTAAGAGTAAAATTCTCCTCTACTGCTAATTCCGGGCGAAAACCCATGTAATTTGTTAATTCACTCAATGACCTTATAATAGATTTTAAAAAGTGAATGCACTCAACTAACAGGAACACTGTGATTGCTTTCAGGGTAAAAGGATCTCCCTGTTTTGCAATCTAATGTTTAAACTGGCTTGTGGCCTTGCCATTGAGTGGGTTAGAGTGTGGTTAATGATTGTGCAGGAGAGAACAAGGGTCTTCGAGAGGGATGAAATAAAAACAAGTTTCTTCGCAGAAACAGACGATAGGCCTTTGGAACGCTAGCTGGTAGGAAAAGTGGATGTGAGGAGTGGGGACAGTGATTTGAGAAAACCAGTTCAATATCAAGAAGCTCAGATATGATCGGAAATACTTGGAGCTATATTCTTTATTTATATGGACTTGTTATTGACTCACTGATTGTCTGTGATAATAGTGATCGACTGTCGGCATCAAGCGTCAACAGGACGGAGGTAATCACCTAGGATCTAGACAGTTAATGCTGCAAGGGATGGAATCTATCAGAGGGCTTATGTGTCCAACAGTGGTGCATTGATAGTGAATGTGGTAGGCGGTGCATAGATAGTAAATGTGGTAGAACATGTGTGCAGCTCTAGAACAGAGTAGGGTATACAGGTATATTCAGTGTAGGGTAGGCAGGATCATAGGGCTAGTGTAGAATGTGGCATTACTGCAGAGCTGGTGCACAGTGTGCTAGGAAGAAGTGCAAGGCTAGTGCACAGTGTGCTGGGAAGTAGTGCAAGGCTAGTGTGCAGTGTGCTAGGAAGTAGTGCAAGTCTAGTGCACAGTGATCTAGGAAGTAGTGCAAGGCTAGTGCGCAGTGTGCTGGGAAGTAGTGCAAGGCCAGTGCACCGTGTTCTAGGAAGTAGTGCAAGGCTACTGCACAGTGTTCTAGGAAGTAGTGCAAGGCCAGTGCACAGTGTTCTAGGAAGTAGTGCAAGGCTAGTGCACAGTGTTCTAGGAAGTAGTGCAGGGCCAGTGTACAGTGTGCTGGGAAGTAGTGCAAGGCCAGTGCACAGTGTTCTAGGAAGTAGTGCAGGGCCAGTGTACAGTGTGCTGGGAAGTAGTGCAAGGCTAGTGCACAGTGTTCTAGGAAGTAGTGCAGGGCCAGTGTACAGTGTGCTGGGAAGTAGTGCAAGGCCAGTGCACAGTGTTCTAGGAAGTAGTGCAGGGCCATTGTACAGTGCGCTGGGAAGTAGTGCAAGGCCAGTGCACAGTGTTCTAGGAAGTAGTGCAAGGCCAGTGCACAGGCTGTGCAGGGTTAGTGCAGAGTATGGTAGACTGTGGTGCAGGGCTAGTGCAGAGTATGGTAGACTGTCGTGCAGGGCTAGTGCAGAGTATAGTAGACTGTCGTGCAGGGCTAGTGCAGAGTATAGCAGACTGTGGTGCAGGGCTAGTGCAGAGTATGGTAGACTGTGGTGCAGGGCTAGTGCAGATTGTAGATGTTGGTGGTGCGAGATAGAGAGTAAGGTACACACAGGGTCATGGACAGTACAGAATGTACTAGATTCTGATGTAAGAAGGATAATTAGTTGGAGATTTATTTCAGAAGGTGTGAGACAGGCTATACAGGACTGTTACCAGCAATATGTAGGTCAATGTATTTATATAACAGATCTGAATGTTGTATAATTATAATTATATGTAAATATAATATTAGAAACCCTTTAATAAAACCCTGCTAGTTCCCCTTGCAGTATATGGGACAATGGTATTTCCTGGCAGCGGCTGCCCCCTCGGAGTCAAGGGCTCTGGAAACCTTCAAGGTGATGGACAATGCGGAGTTCAGGGTCCAAGCAAGCACAGAGCAGGAGAAGCTGGTGTTCATAGCGACCGTCAGAGTGTGAGACGGAACTTTCTTTCACTTCTCACTTTCCTAACTTCTACTCTCCTTCTCCTGTCTTTTTTGTTTATTCTTCATTTTCCTCACCTCAATCGCTGCTCTTCCCCTTATTTCCTCTTCCGCTCCTTACCTCTTCTATTCTTCTTCTTCTCCTTTCCCTCTTCATCTTCTTTGTCTCCTCCTCCTCTCCCTCTCCACCCTTCCCCCTCCTCCGGGCAATGCCTTTTTCTGATGTAGGCCTTTATCTAATATCATCAGATAAACACTTACTATGATTTTTTTTTTTTTTTTGTATGATTGATTTTTATATGATATGTTTTAAAAATGTTAACATTTTGAAAAAAAAATCATTATCAAAGTTTATCCAAAAATATTAAACCATGTGAAAATCCTATCCAAAAATAATAAACAATGTGAAAATCCTATCCAAAAATATTAAATTGAAGCCTCTGTAAGTATTCATTTCTCCAACTCTCTAAAAGAGTTTGTAATCTCTTTTTCATCCCTATATCTCTCCTTCCCAACATACTTTCTCTTTTGTCAACTGTTCATAGCATCCTTCTATTCTGTTCTTCGTACACGTCATTTCTCTATCTGACCCCTTCTCTCTCTCTCTTTGTGTCTCAACATCACCCTCTGTCTCTTGCATCTATTCTTCCTTCGACACCCTTGTTTTCCTTTGTTCCTCAAATTCCACTAAATTTTTTTGTTGTTTCTCTGTCTTATCCCTTTCTCTTCTTTTCCGTATCATCTTCCTTCTTTTTTTCATTTCATGCCTTCCTTCCTCTAACCTTATTCCTCTCTCATTATTGTTGTTCTTCTCAATTGTACTTGTTTTCTCTCAAGCACATTCATTCACCCTACTAACTTTCTTTTCATCTGCACCGGGGCCTGGTGGTTTCTAGTTACGCCTCTGTTCCCGTGCAATCAAAAGACAAAGTAGGAATTATTTTGTCTTATATACACAAAGTGTGCCAAAAGACAGAAGAACGCAATATCTCTACTTCCCAACATGCTTTTTGTTTTGTCAACTCTTTGTGTCCCCAATATTCCCAATAACCACGTTCTTGAGCTATTTGACGCTCCCTTTTTTCTTGAAGTAAAGATGGCTCGTGTGTTCCTCGGAAGTGGATTTACATCCTTACTGATGGAAGCACTGAACTGCGCACTGAGGGTAAGGTGACGACAAGGAGAGGCGCTACTGTGTGAGATAAGCAACTATAGTGATATGATTTATTTTCTTATTTGTATACAGGGCACCCAGACAGAACCACCGAGTTATTCTCATCTAAATGCTCAAAGTGTGTCATCCTGAAAGAGACAGAAAATAACATTTCCAGGCTCCTTCTCTACTGTATGTAATCGGTGGACAGGGATGGTGGGAGGTCTTGCAATAGAAATATTTTTTGTTTATTTTTTTAATTCTTTTGGAGGAAAAAAAAATAACACAACTGTGCGTGATTTTCCCCCAAAAATTATGGATCCGGAACTTTTTGAATTAAGATCAGGTGATTTTTCTGGTGAAAACGTGCGTATACAGAAGCTCCTACAATAATATATAATCTGGAGCATAATCTCTGCAATGTGTCTGTTGACAAGTTCAGTCAATGTCGGCAGTAGTGTGCAGAGAACAGAAAGCGGGGAAGTGGGCAGCCTTATTTTATACAAATGTTAAAAAAAAACTAAATGGGATAGGATACAACATTTTTTTATTAGGAGAGAGAGAAAATTATTTGTGTCTCGGCTTTGGGTTATTTTCACGCACTAATTCTCAAATAGTGAAACAAATTGTCATTATGATCCAACTGGCACCTCACCTCATGGCGTGTGTTTACGTCTACGTCACTGCGTATAAGTTATGTGTTAATGGCTTTGTTCCTTCATTCCCTCTCTTCCCTATTATTTTAAAAATTCTCATCTCCTTCATATAACCATTACTCCATCTTCCTTTGTGTTTCATGACACCTCATTGGTTCTCTCTCTTTCCATTCCCTCAGCTCGCTCACCCCAGCTAGAAGAAGAATTTATAGAGGAGTTTAAAGAGAAGGCCTCATGTGAAGGATACAAAGAGATATTGGAGATTCCACAGACACTAGGTAATGGATAAACATGTAACATGGTGCTGGGGTGTCATGAATGGGGAGACTGGTATTTCTGTGATATGAACCCATATCATTGTATAATAGTGTTTTATTGTGAGACGGGCATTGCCAAGGGTTACAATGTATACAGCACACATTACATAATAAAGCAATGTATACTACTGATCCCATACTGGGTTTATGGATATGTCCTAGGCCAGGAATAGGCAACCTTCGGCACTCCAGATGTTGTGGACTACATCCTCCATAATGTTCTTACACCCATAATGCTGGCAAAGCATCATGGGAGGTGTAGTCCAGGGCCGGACTGGCCCACGGGATACCGGGAAATTTCCCGGTGGGCCGTCGGCACCTGGGGCCGGGCAGACAGCCGGCTCACCTGCGGCCGCAGGGGGAGCTTTTCTAGCGGCCGCAGGGGGAGCTGGCTGTTCTGTCTCCGCTCCCCCTCCCCAGCGCGCTAGAAAGAGACCGGGGCCGGAATATGACGTCATATTCCGGCCCCAGTCTCAGTAAGCAGTGCGCTGGGGAGGGGGAGCGGAGACAGAACAGCCAGCTCCCCCTGCGGCCGCTAGAAGAGCTCCCCACAGCCCCAGGTAGACATTGTGTGTGTCACTGTGTGTGTCTGTGTGTCTCTGTCTGTCATGGTGTGTGCATCTGTGTCATGCAATGTGTGTCTGTGTCATGGTGTGTGTGTCTCTGACTGTCATGGTGTGTGCGTCTGTCTGTGTCACGGTCTGTCTGTGTCATGGTGTGTGTGTGTGTTTGTCATGGTGTGTGTCTGTCTCTGTCATGTAATGTGTGTCTGTGTCACGATCTCTCAGTGTCTGTCTGTGTCGTGTATGTGTCTGTGTCAAGGTCTGTGTTATGGTGTGTGTCTTTTTTAAGGTGTGTCTGTCATGGTATGTGTGTGTCTCTGTCATGGTGTGTGTGTGTCTGTCTGTGTCATGGTGTGTCTGTCTGTCATGGTGTGTCTGTGTTTCTGTTTGTGTCACGGTGTGTGTCTGTCATGGTATGTGTGTGTGTATGTGTGTTTTTACTCACCTTTTTTTTTTTTTTTTCCACGTCGTGCTGGTCTCCCCTCAACTGGCCCTGCCTCTACGGCTGAGATCATCAAGCTTGATGATCTCAGCCAATCCGCACTGACACAGGAAGCACCTCTAGTGACCGTCTGAGTGTCTGTCAGTAGGAAGCAATGTAAACACTGCCTTTTCTCTAAAAAGTCAGTGTTTAAATTGAAAAGCCTGCAGGGACAGGCTGTAGACACCAGAGCCACTACATTAAGCTGTGTGTGTGTGTGTGCGCGCCTGCTAGTGAGTGGGCTTGCTTGTGTGTGTGTGTGCCTGCTACTGAGTGAGCTTGTGTTTTTATTTTAATGACCTTATGTATATCAGTGAGATTGTTTGTCTATGAGGCTGTGTATCAATCAGCTTGTGTCAGTGAGATTGTCTGTGTCTGCATGTGAGTATGCTTACTGTATAATTAAAGATTTTACTCTGAAAGAACCAATATTTTATATTGGAAAAAGATATATATATATATATATCAATCATCTAGGGTGGCAAGACATAGCCTTACATATTACATGCGACAATATATGGCGCAATGACTTATGGGGCTGGCATAGATTTTTTTTTCCAGGGCTGCTTTGGAATCCCCAGTCCGGCCCTGGTGTAGTCCAAAACATCTGGAGTGCCGAACATCTGGGTTTATGGATATGTCCTAGGCCAGGAATAGGCAACCTTCGGCACTCCAGATGTTGTGGACTACATCCTCCATAATGCTCTTACACCCATAATGCTGGCAAAGCATCATGGGAGGTGTAGTCCAAAACATCTGGAGTGCCGAAGGTTGGCTATGGCATGGTGGACAAAACTTTAACTGTTTCATGGTTTGTAGACGTCCATCCATCAGACCGGTGAGCAGTATCTATGCAGCAGCACACCGAGTATGACTATAATAAAAACTAACCTATCTCACCCTGTTCTTTTAGTGAATAAGTAGGGGTTCATATATTTGTGTGTGTTGGGACTATCTGAATCTGATAATATCCAGTGTAGAGAATCGAGGCTTGCTCTGTTGATAACTATATAGACAGCTAACTTTGTCTTTCTAATCTATGCAAATAGCTAACAATAAGTGAAGAAAGGGCGATCCTATAAATAATTAATATGATTATGATCTGCACAAACACTCGAGTGTCACCCCCTCGCAAATCAAACTCATAAACGTGAAACAAAAGTGTCAAACTGGAGGTGTGCTCAGAGTGAAAAAAGGGTATAAATACGTATCATAAAATAATATAATATTGTATAATATTACAGTGCAATCTGTGGAGTATCCAAAAATAGGTATATACAGAAATGCAATTATAGGGCAGATTAAATGAAAAGGAATAGATGCTTTGGCCACTTACAAACAGTAGATCCCAAACTCTATACACAGTGCAACCCATACCACCTCTCTCGGTACCAACTATCCGTACCACCCCTCTCTGTACCAACCATCCGTACCACCTCTCTCTGTACCAACAATCCGTACCACCTCTCTCTGTACCAACAATGCATACCACCTCTCTCAGTACCAACTATCCGTACCACCTCTCTCAGTACCAACCATCCGTACCACCTCTCTCTGTACCAACCATCCGTACCACCTCTCTCTGTACCAACAATCCATACCACCTCTCTCAGTACCAACTATCCGTACCACCTCTCTCTGTACCAAGCATCCATACCACCTCTCTCTGTACCAACAATCCGTACCACCCCTCTCTGTACCAACCATCCGTACCACCTCTCTCTGTACCAACTATCCGTACTACCTCTCTCTGTACCAACCATCCATACCACCTCTCTCTGTACCACCTCTCTCTGTACCAACCATCCATACCACCTCTCTCTGTACCAACCATCCGTACCACCTCTCTCTGTACCAACAATCCGTACCACCTCTCTCTGTACCAACCATCCGTACCACCTCTCTCTGTACCAACCATCCGTACCACCTCTCTCTGTACCAACCATCCATACCACCTCTCTCTGTACCAACCATCCGTACCACCTCTCTCTGTACCAACCATCCATACCACCTCTCTCTGTACCAACCATCCATACCACCTCTCTCTGTACCAACAATCCATACAACCTCTCTCTGTACCAACCATCCGTACCACCTCTCTCTGTACCAACTATCCGTACCACCTCTCTCTGTACCAATCATCCATACCACCCCTCTCTGTACCAACCATCCGTACCACCTCTCTCTGTACCAATCATCCATACCACCCCTCTCTGTACCAACTATCCGTACCAACTCTCTCTGTACCAACAAGCCGTACCACCTCTCTCTGTACCAACCATCCGTACCACCTCTCTCTGTACCAACCATCCGTACCACCTCTCTCTGTACCAACAATCCGTACCACCTCTCTTACAGTTGGTACAGAGTACTGCGTATAGAGCATAGATTGGGCTCTACTGTTTGTAAGTGGCAAATTATTTACCCTTTTCCATTTATTTGTCTTGTCTAATCTACTGCCCAGGAGCAGAGTAAGCCCCGTTCCTATGTTTTGAGGAATGATTGAACATTGTGTGTTTGAAGCAATAGAACAAGCAGCAGTAATCATAGTATGTAGAAATCATATGATGCAGGATTCCTCAGTGATAAATAACATGATTTTTGGCCTGCAGCATGGAATCCTATATACCGCAGAGCCGTACTGCTCGTCAATGTGTTTACTTGATATGTGTCCAGGAAACATGGTGGGTCTGGCAGTTCTAGCCTGTAGGAGGGTCTAAATTAAAGTCCCCATCTTTTATAAGCAGAAGAAGGGTCCATATTATTATTATTTCCGAAATGTATCCTAACAATGATTAAAGAAAAAAAGATTGAGTAGTGAAACGATTCTCCATTACAACTCTTTTATTAATGCCTCTAACCTTGATACCATAATATGAACCCAATTATGGAACATTAATTGGTTAATTCTATATCCATAGTGTTTTATCTTGGCTTATGGTTATAATAGGCTAAGTGACAGTTTGCCCTATGAGTGATACCAGCCAGGTGCCAGTTCTAGTCTCGGTGTGTGCAGGAAGGCAGGTCTTAGTTCTGTGTTCTTGGAGACTCAAACGTCATGCCATCTTGATTAATGTCAATGGAATTAAAAAGCCAGAGGCTGTGATTTAGCAGTGACTAAGCAGGAGTGTCTGTGTGTTGTGGCATGTTCGGAGTGTTCAGAACTGGTTTGAGAATCACATGGTTTAAAATAAAATGTGACTCTGCACTTTAGATTAATGTGCTGCCCACGTGACCCCGGGGCAGGGCCTGCACCATCAATGATACAGATAAAATCTCAATATGCAACTCATGAAGAATGAAAATTTAGAAAATATAAATACACAAAAATAAGTCTTGCGCTCAAACTCCCACTACTCTTGGGCAGCAGCAACGATCATAGTACATATCAGTCCCAATACATAAACTTTGCCAGAAGCTCAAGAAAGCAAGGTGACTAGTCAGTGTAGGACCCACCTGAGAGGTTTGCCTTGACGTGGCAGGTGGGCATTCCCTGCAATGGCCATTGGAGCAACTAAATAACCTCCATTTGATTAAACATGCATAGGGATTTAGGAAGAGCGCAGGTAACGTTTTGTCTTAGATAGAAAATATATCTGCCCAGCAATGCCCATTGTGTAAATAAAGCTTTTAATATAACTGTGCAGTGGTGAGAGGCAACTGGCTCCAACGCAGGCCGAATGGCATGTTGATAAGCATTGGGCTGGCCTGGCTGCCCTGCAGTTTCTGCTGTACATACATGTTCTAATGTAATAATATGTGTAGATAGGTATAGTGAGCTGCCAGGCAGTCTGTAATGTACATACCTTGTATACTGCCACACAGTCTGTAATGTACATACCTTGTATACTGCCACACAGTCTGTAATGTACATACCTTGTATACTGTCACACAGTCTGTAGTGTACATACTTTGTATACTGTCACATAGTCTACAGAGTACATACTTTGTATACTGTCGCACAGTCTGCAGTGTACATATTTTGTATATTGTCACATAGTCTGCAGTGTACATACTTTGTATACTGTCGCACAGTCTGCAGTGTACATATTTTGTATATTGTCACATAGTCTGCAGTGTACATATTTTGTATACTGCCACACAGTCTGTAGAGTACATACTTTGTATACTGTCACACAGTCTGCAGTGTACATACTTTGTATACTGCCACACAGTCTGTAGTGTACATACTTTGTATACTGTCACACAGTCTGCAGTGTACATACTTTGTATACTGCCACACAGTCTGCAGTGTACATACTTTGTATACTGTCACATAGTCTGCAGTGTACATACTTTGTAAACTGTCACACAGTCTGTAGTGTACATTCTTTGTATATTGTCACACAGTCTGTAGTGTACATACTTTGTATACTGTCGCACAGTCTGCAGTGTACATATTTTGTATATTGTCACATAGTCTGCAGTGTACATACTTTGTATATTGTCACACAGTCTGCAATGTACATACTTTGTAAACTGTCACACAGTCTGTAGTGTACATTCTTTGTATATTGTCACATAGTCTGTAGTGTACATACTTTGTATATTGTCACACAGTCTGCAGTGTACATACTTTGTATACTGCCACACAGTCTGTAGTGTACATACTTTGTATACTGTCACACAGTCTGTAGTGTACATACTTTGTATACTGTCACACAGTCTGCAGTGTACATACTTTGTATACTGTCACATAATCTGCAGTGTACATACTTTGTATACTGCCACACAGTCTGCAGTGTACCTACTTTGTATACTGTCACACAGTCTGTAGTGTACATACTTTGTATACTGTCACACAGTCTGCAGTGTACATACTTTGTATACTGTCACATAGTCTGCAGTGTACATACTTTGTAAACTGTCACACAGTCTGTAGTGTACATACTTTGTATATTGTCACACAGTCTGCAGTGTACCTACTTTGGATATTGTCACATAGTCGGTAGTGTACATACTTTGTATACTGCCACACAGTCTGTAGTGTACATACTTTGTATATTGTCACACAGTCTGCAGTGTACATACTTTGTATATTGTCACATAGTCTGTAGTGTACATACTTTGTATACTGCCACACAGTCTGCAGTGTACATACTTTGTATATTGTCACACAGTCTGCAGTGTACATACTTTGTATACTGCCACACAGTCTGCAGTGTACATACTTTGTATATTGTCATACAGTCTGCAGTGTACATGTGTGTTATAATGTAATATAATGCATGTATGGGGGCATTGAGCTGGCTATTATGTGATATGGTCAGTAAGTATATCAAATTGTATATGTGTCAATGTGGCCATTGGATAGCATACCTCCCAACATTTCATATTGATAAGATGGACACTTTAATGCTAATGGTGTGATTGCGGGAATGGCTGTTCTGAGAAATTTTAGGTGACTTACCAATAAAAATGTATAGAACTAAAATGTAATTTAGAACAAGAACAATTTATCTTATTTACACAGACTGATTTCCTAACATAGTTAGCCCAAGCTGTACACACCTTTTATATTATACTAGTCCCTAGGATTTGTAACTGCTGAGAAAATACCTGTAATATCTGTATGCAAAATACAATCCTTCACAATTTCCAACACCCTCAAATGATTACCACCTTACAATCCCATCTCTCCAAAGAATCTTCCCTCAAACGCGGATCTTTATCTCCATGTAATTTCTTATTCCCAGTATCTTTAATCCTCAAACACCCTCTAGATTGTAAGATCACAAGACCAGGCCTGATTACTTTATTGTCTTGTATTTCATGTTTTCTCTACGGCACTGTCTTTTATAAACTTGAGTCTTACAATTGCTAGAACTGTATAGAGAAATGTAATGCGTTTTGGTACTCTCCTCTACTACCATATGGCTGTAATATACCTTGGTACTCTCCTGTACTACGCCATGGCTGTAACATACCCTGGTACTCTCCTGTACTACGCTATGGCTCTAATATACCTTGGTACTCTCCTGTACTACGCTATGGCTGTAACATACCCTGGTACTCTCCTGTACTACGCTATGACTGTAACATACCCTGGTACTCTCCCGTACTACGCCATGGCTGTAACATACCCGGGTACTCTCCCGTACTACGCTATGGCTATAACGTACCCTGGTATTGTCCTGTACTACGGTATGGCTGTAATATACCTTGGTACTCTCCTGTACTACGCTATGGCTGTAACATACCCTGGTACTCTCCTGTACTACGCTATGGCTGTAACGTACCCTGGTACTCTCCCGTACTACGCCATGGCTGTAACATACCCGGGTACTCTCCCGTACTACGCTATGGCTGTAACATACCCGGGTACTCTCCCGTACTACGCTATGGCTGTAATATTCACGGGTACTCTCCTATATTATGCTATAGCTTTAATATACCCAGGTACTCTCCTATATTATGCTATGGCTTTAATATACCCTGGTACTCTCCTATATTACGCTATGGCTGTAACATATCCTGGTACTCTCCTGCACTACGCTATGGCTGTAACATACCCTGGTACTCTCTAACAAGGCTGAAACGATCGTCTGGGGTTATGTATCTCTCGTGCAGAGAGAGCTGGCCTGTATTTTGGATATGTTCTGCCCTTTTGGGTTGAATCAGTCTGAGATGCGTGTCCTGGTTCTCTCTGTAATAGCACAAGATGAGCTAAAACCATCTTGAGAACTGAGCGGGGATCCACCGAAGGGCAGGCTAATTGAGCTGTTCCTCAGCACTCTCTTGCGACTTGTTTTTTTGGTACTCTCCTGTACTACGCTATGGCTGTAACATATCTTGGTACTCTCCTATATTATGCTATGGCTGTAACATACCCTGGTACTCTACTATATTATGCTATGGCTTTAATATACCCTGGCACTCTCCTATATTATGCTATGGCTGTAATATACCCTGGTACTCTCCTGTACTACAGTGTGGCTGTAACATACCCTGGTAATCTCCTGTACTATGGTGTGGCTGTAACATACCCTGGTACTCTCCTGTACCATGGTGTGGCTGTAACATACCCTGGTACTCTCCTGTACCATGCTGTGGCTGTAACATACCCTGGTACTCTCCTGTACTACGCTATGGCTCTAACATACCTTGGTACTCCTGCACTACGCTATGACTGTAACATACCCGGGTACTCTCCTGTACTACGCTATGGCTGTAACATACCCTGGTACTCTCCTGTACTACGCTATGACTGTAACATGCCCGGGTACTCTCCTGTACTACGCTATGGCTGTAACATACCCTGGTACTCTCCTGTAATATGCTTTGACTGTAACATACCCGGGTACTCTCCTGTACTACGCTATGGCTGTAACATACCCAGGTACTCTCCTGTACTACGCTATGACTGTAACATACCCGGGTACTCTCCTGTACTACGCTATGGCTGTAACATACCCGGGTACTCTCCTGTACTACGCTATGACTGTAACATACCCGGGTACTCTCCTGTACTACGCTATGGCTGTAACATACCTTGGTACTCTCCTGTACTACGCTATGGCTGTAACATTCCCGGGTACTCTCCTGTACTACGCTATGGCTGTAACATACCCGGGTACTCTCCTGTACTACGCTATGGCTGTAACATACCCGGGTACTCTCCTGTACTACGCTATGACTGTACTATACCCGGGTACTCTCCTGTACTACGCTATGACTGTAACATACCCTGGTACTCTCCTGCACTACGCTATGACTGTAACATACCCGGGTACTCTCCTGTACTACGCTATGACTGTAACATACCCGGGTACTCTCCTGTACTACGCTATGACTGTAACATACCCGGGTACTCTCCTGTGGTACTCTCTTGCACTACGCTATGACTGTAACATACCCGGGTACTCTCCTGTACTACGCTATGGCTGTAACATACCGGTACTCTCCTGTACTACGCTATGACTGTAACATACCCTGGTACTCTCCTGTACTACGCTATGGCTGTAACATACCCGGGTACTCTCCTGTACTACGCTATGACTGTAACATACCCGGGTACTCTCGGCTATGGCTAACTACTCTCCTGTACTACGCTATGACTGTACTACATACCCGGGTACTCTCCTGTACTACGCTATGACTGTAACATACCCGGGTACTCTCCTGTACTACGCTATGGCTGTAACATACCCTGGTACTCTCCTGCACTACGCTATGACTGTAACATACCCGGGTACTCTCCTGTACTACGCTATGACTGTAACATACCCGGGTACTCTCCTGTACTACGCTATGACTGTAACATACCCGGGTACTCTCCTGTACTACGCTATGACTGTAACATACCCGGGTACTCTCCTGTACTACGCTATAACTGTAATATACCCGGGTACTCTCCTTTATGGCTGTAACATACCCTGATATACCCGGAGGTTGTGGCTCTTGTGAATGTCCTGCAGTAATAGTTTGTGGTGAATCCCGTGGTCCTAATACTGACTGATCTGTATTTCTCTTTGTTTTCAGATTACTGTCATATGGAAAAATGAGGATTTGATTCCATTGATGTCATCAGCCTTTAAATAGAACCAAATTGCAGCAGAAAGGAAGCAAAACGCAATAAAAGTGGTTTATCTAACTGCCCTGTGCTTTCAATTAGTGAATCGTCTTTCCTCACAGAAGCCATGTAACAAGCCAGTATTTTATATAAATTGATCAAAAGACTGAAATAAAATGGAAGTGATGAGTGGTTATTTATTAACATTATATATATATGGAGAATGTACCTTTTATTATGGCACTATATCACCACAAAGGATTATTCCAAAATATTCCTGGTTTTCTATACAGGGGGCTTGATTGAGCTGCTGGTATCAGGTCTACTGTTGGCACGCATGGCGTGTTTAAATGACCATGGTAATGGAAGTAAATGGGCTCACAACCCTCATAACGCAAAAATAAATTCTGGCTGTTTTGGTACTGCAACACCTATGATGCTCTGTCATTTTTAAGGCCAGCAAAGCATCATGGGAGTTGTAATTTCCCAATATATGGGGCTTCACAATGCATCTGACTGTCTTTTGCAAATATATATATAGTAGGTCTATATATAATATGCACCCTAATTATCCAGTTTCTATCTCTGTTCTCGCAGTAACAGGGACTGCCAAAGAGATAACCATGTACACATTTATACTTAATTTACATGAAAAAGACAAAAAAAAAAAAAAAAACTTAAATGTGCTTGTATACCTTTATAGAATGTGCCAGATTTTACTTTTATTACCTCATAAATTAGGCAGGTTTCTTAGCTTACACATATCTGAAGATATCTTAATTCATATAAAAAACATTTATTTTAATGACAGATCATTGTAGTGGTTATGGTGCCAATAGACTTTAGACGCAGTCCTCCTCACATTTTCTGTCAGCCTTCAGCTACACGGATGGAACTGAAGAACTGAAGATTTACTTCAACATTATCCATCCATAGCTGTTAATTAGGTAGACTGCCCCGGCGCTCTGACGCCATCTTTGCTGTTCAAGCTTGGATGCTTCTGGAAACATACTGTAAAAGCAAATCTTCCTCATTATCTGAGCATTTGCAGACGGTCTCGGTTTGGGTGGTGGGGAGAGGCAGAAAACATTAATTGCACCAAAGACACTACAATGAGCTATAGTGTTTATAGTGGGAGGAATGCCCATTTAACGCATCACTGAGCACTTACATTATACACCCAGGGTGACGGCTTAGGCCAAAGCATGTCCTGCTGAAATTCATTCTTTATAATCTAATATCTTCACGAATACAAGTTTCACTGTTCTGTGCTTTACTCTCTGTCTGGTACATCTGTCACTCATATCCACAGTCACATCAGCACTTTTCATGTACCTCAGGACAGCACATGGCATCTCACTGTCTACCCATTGTATCTGCTGCACTCATTTTCATTGACATTTCCTTATTAAACCATTCTGACAAACTGGATTCCACCTTCTCCAAACCATCGTTATTACTCTTACTTGCCTCTCACTTGCTCTGAGTTAACCAATACGTACTGCTCTCCCAACCACTCTCAGCCACACTCTGCCATTATTACCATTACATTCAGCTAGCAGGTCAATCCACGTCAGCTGCCGTTTCCACGTCTAGCAATTCCTGCGCTATACACATTGTTATATACATTCTAATACCCATCACAGCAGCTCCACCAACCTCCCTTGTGCTAATTTGCTGCCCTTCCTAACAAGGGTTAATAAAGGCACTTTCTTTCTGTACAATTCTAACATGTTAAGGACCAAACTTCTGGAATAAAAGGGAATCATGACATGTCACACATGTCATGTGTCCTTAAGGGGTTAAACTCCCCTGTGGGTCGGCTTTTTACATTAACACCCTAAATATAGAGAAACGTTTGCCTCCCCATTGATATCATAGTGTATCAATGATTGGCACACATATAGAATTCTGAGAACCTGTATCTACATTAAAGTTCACATACCAGGCAGCCAATGAGAGATGGGCACATTCCGAGTGAGCGCAGTGGTCCCAGCTGTTAGCAGACCCCAAGTCATACAGAGAGAGTATGACAGTCCAGCACCTGTTGTGACCCTGCTCCTTGTGTTACAGTGCAAGGAGATCACTATATCCTTACATTCACACCAGCATGTATAGCGAATGTTAACAATACAAGCATTTTTAACAACCCTAAGAAATGCGAACAACTTACAAGGACATGTATGCCCAAATTAGTCAAAACTGAAAAAATTCTCCCACCCAGGGGTTTTTAAATGTGAAATCCCTTTATTATTTCCCAACAGGGGTTTTTAAATGTGAAATCTCCTTATTATTTCCCAACAGTTCCCAGGTAAGTAAACTAACCACATTGTTTTGGAACTTCTTTATGGAATAGTGGAATCTATATCTCCTGATGTCTGACACTAGATTAGGTATGAAACAAGAGAAACCCAACTGCCTGTGATGGGGAAGAGGGGGTCCAACTGCTCCTACCATAGATTCCACTTAAACCGATTTACACTGGATATACCCACATTCTGACCACGCTCTTTCAATCAAACATGGCTGTAACCCTCGTTTGCAGTCAGTTAACATCCTCAGCTCATTATGGATTATAAAACCACCACCCCAGCAAAATATACACGTACATGTTTATTTGCAGTGTGTAAAATGGTACCCTTATGTGAATTACAGCAATGTGTCTTAGCTACTGCAGCTTCAGACCCTGGTTCTGGATTTGAAATGGAATTCTCTCCATGACCTTCCAACAGTTCTGGAATTGAATATTCACTGTGCTCGGCGTGTTCTTGTAGTCACAGTCTGTCTCTGGATTTAAGTAATCCAGATCTTGTTTTTTAGTTGCTAGGTGTTTCCAAGTAGTGTATTATCCTATTTATTGCTGCCCAGGTTATAATTCTGCAGAATAGTTCGATCCTGCAAGTCCTAATATTTTGAGCTGGTGATCTGGATTTGCAAAATATCACAAAACAATTCGTACAGATGTTCTCTTTGGTTCTAGACTTGCATTAAATATACTTATTGCTCCCTGTTTCAAGATTTTTTCGCAGTGCTTCGCACTAATATTATAAATCATGGTCCACAGAAAACAAGAAATGAAAGCATAAAAATATAAAAATACTTAAATAAATAATTATCTTTCTTCTCAGACACTCTTTTCCCATGGCAATTCCTTCTTTAGAAAAAAAAAAGAAAAAAAATCACACGGACTCAACATACCACCTTCTTATAGGAACACCCGTTTAGAAGAAAACTCCTGTTTTCAGATCAATTCACAGCTCTTAAGAAATAAAAACATGTCTTTAAAATCCTGAAGTATCACTTCTACGGACACTCCCTTACTAGAATCCATTAGTGGCTAACTTCAATGTTCCACAGTGTTTTTAAAATGTGCCGTGCAGTGCTCAGCTCGACCATCAACTAGATGGAACCACACTTAAGACCTTTGTATGATGGAGATGCCAACTCAAGCAATCTCTTCTTCTTCCTCTCCATCACTCACCCACATATCATCAGAATCGGCCATTTCGTCTTCGCTGCCCCCTGCCCACCTTTCTTCCATTGGCTCTCTTTCACCACCTTCATCCATTCCTTCTTCTTGTTCAACTTCTCTTCTTTCTTCCACTTCCTCTTCACCAACTGGTTCTTCTCTTGCCATTTTCTCCTCCCGCTCTGCTTTCAAGCTGACCATCAAGACTAGTGCCTGTAAAATGGCGAAAAAAGAGGCCAGCTGGAAAAGGTACGCTTGGGCTAACCAGAAAAGGAGATACATCCCATAGGTGGTGGTCAAGAATACTGCAAGGCCATGGATCCAGAGTTTTATAGCTCCTTGCACGCCAAAAACATCCAGAGTTATACGGAACACAGGAGAAAAGACAGAGAGATACCCAAGAATACAGATGTCAAATATATGGTGGACCAAGTTGATGCAGATCTGGAAATGCTCCGCATTGATGTTGGAAGGTGGTGAGGATTTAGTGTTGTTGTTACTCTTTGTGTAGTGCAGAAGAGAGCGGAGGTTGGGCAAAGTGGGTAGAGGTATTGCTGGCAGAGTCCATCGTTTTGGCTTTTGGGGAGTGGCATGAGGGTTAGGTGGAAGTTTAGATGGAGATTGCAGAAGTTTTGAGAGGAAAGCAGGGGGAGATGGCCATTGGATAGAACGCTGTAGGAACATCTGTATTGGAGATTAAAAAAAAGAGAAGACACTTAAATCAAATGTCAGAGGGAACAAGTCCAGTATTGTGCAGAGTCACAATCATTCTATTGTTATTTTGCTAATGACTAAAGTGGGCACATTACACACAGGAATAGGATAAAAAAAACTGGAATCAGAGGAAGAAAAAAAAGTCAGCACTCCATGTATTCTTACTTACTGTTTACATTTGGCAACAAAAACAAACAAAAATACTACCTATTGGCTTCCTTGATTTATAGATATATATCTTATATAGGCCTCTGTTTAATATTTTTTTAATAAGATTTTCAAATGATTAAAGATTTTTGAATTAACTTAATAATTTTTTTTAAAGATTAAAGTAATCTAATAAAAATACTGCCTATAAAATATTTGAAATAATTTTAAAAGCATTTGAAAAATACTAAAATTATTTGAAAAGCTTATCCAAAAATATTAAATTGAGGCCATAATTTAAACTAATTTCTATAACGTACATTTTTTTCTGTCATTATGGGTGTTTTTTTTCCACTTGGGCCCTGTATTACCCTATTTAGGTTTCTATATTGTTACTTTCAGTTCCATTCACTCCCGAGCCATTATTCGGCAGCCATATTAGTCTGTTGTTTAAACAGCTTGTGCACTGGGGGGGGGGATGTACAAACCTCTGAACTATGTCAATTGCAGGAATATCAGATTTCCCAGAATGAGGTCTGCTATTTTGGAAAGCCGGGTCTGTCTTTCAATACTAGGACTGAGAAGGTTAATTTAAGAGACTTGTTGGTCTACGTGCATCCAGAATCTGCTCATCCTTAGGGCAACAAACCTCAGATTATCACCACGAGCATTTGTTACATCTAACCAATTAGGGGAGACTTGCCAGATGGCGAACCATCTTGTAGCAAGCAGGTAATAAAGTAGCACAGTATACATTAAAAACATGAATGTCAAATAGACATTAAAAATTAGGAGGTGGTTAAACTGACACTGAAGAGTCACTGCATTAATAATAAAGATTAAATACAAAATGAATGTACTGTTCGGGTTAGGAGGGAGGTTGGGGAGGCCATAGTAAGGTTAGGGAGAATGTTAGGTGCCTGGTTTAGGAAGGTATATTTGGGATTGGGAGGTATCTGCCTGCATAACAGAACCTTTAAACAATATATTTAAGGAATAAACACAGCACACATTCAGTTGGTTGGAAGCCCTGAGGCTGCCTTTATCTACCTGGTAAAGTAATCAAATTTTCCACTTTACAGCCCAGTGATTCTCGGTCATGCAAGGCCAGCGCAGCAAGTTTCCATATTTATTTATTTTTTAAATACTGCAATTTGAAGAATACTTAATAATAAGTGTGATCCCCACATGAGTTCTCCAACAGACCCCCTCCAATTCAAGTGAATAAACTGAGAGGGCCATGCGCTTGGTGTGGCTATAAGGGACTTCATTCCAGGACAAAAAAGGGTCAACATAATCAACCACATCCAGCATTATCTTTATCTTTAAACCAGCACAGACTGACTTGTCAGCTAGAGTAGAAGCCACCTATAACATTTGGCCAAAACTCGACGGTGGGACAATCTCAAAGAGTTTCTGGACAGGCAAATTCTTCTTGAAATGAATGGGGTCTTGAAACTGGTCAGATTGACAGCTTAGAGATTAGATTTAGGGAAGACAATCCAAGGAGTCTTAAAAAATGATTGGCAAGCAGTCAGGACCCCCCACCCCCTGCACAAGACCCAGCATAGTCAGCAGTCAGACCCTATGACATCACTTTTTCTGTCCTTTACATTAATGCCATTTTCAGGACTGAGCAGGAAAGCTTTATAAACCACGTGGCAGATCAGACCCCTATTACAATAGTATAAAACAAATCTTTAATTTTAGTATTGTAAATTAAAAAGAAAAGCAAAAAACAAAGTTAAAAAAAAAGAATAATATAACGGTGGTAACAGAAAAAAAAAAGGCACAAAAAAGATATTTTAGGTATAAAGCGCCTAGATGAATTATATTTGAGGGGAGACCATTAACCGAGACCCCCAGAATGACAGCCTTGATTATTGTTTTTTCTGCCTGTCTCCTCTCCATTGTCTGAAAGTTAATCACAGCTGGCCTCTCTTCCTGAAGCTGTTTATTTCGTAACAAGTTATTCGGTCAGTTTGTTTTTTGCTCTGATTTATTGTTCAGTGTGTTAGAAGTGGCTAAGCTAGTTTGATTCCGATATAGTTTACAAGTTGCCCAAATTAGACTAAAATACAATATACCGCTTATTTGTGGTCAAGCAGTGAAGCTACATTTACAATCTTGCCCGTTCCAGCCGGTTTGACACAGGGTAAGGGGGGAGGGGTGTTAGGTCATGTTCTTGCTTCCTACTCGAAATACAGGCTGAGTGCCTTTAAAACTAATCAGCTAAATTAGACATTTAATTCTCGCACAGCATACTTTCTTTATTAACGCATTAAAGTCAAGGTATTTATGAGGCTCTTGGTCATTAACCCAATAAGTCCAAGAAGGCTGTGCAAATAACCTCTTCGCACTCTGAGGGTTTATTCACTAGATACTGTATTGTACAGCGCTACAGAATTTGTTGGCGCTTCATAAATATGAATAATAATAAATGGAGAATCGCAGAGAACTGGCAAGGGAACTTAAAACATAGAAACATGGAATGTGACGGCAGATAAGAACCATTCGGCCCATCTAGTCTGCCCAATTTTCTAAATACTTTCATTAGTCCCTGGCCTTATCTTATAGTTAGGATAGCCTTATGCCTATCCCACGCATGCTTAAACTCCTTTACTGTGTTAACCTCTACCACTTCAGCTGGAAGGCTATTCCATGCATCCACTACCCTCTCAGTAAAGTAATACTTCCTGATATTATTTTTAAACCTTTGTCCCTCTAATTTAAGACTATGTCCTCTTGTTGTGGTAGTTCTCCTTCTTTTAAACATAGTCTCCTCCTTTACTGTGTTGATTCCCTTTATATATTTAAATGTTTCTATCATATCCCCCTGTCTCGTCTTTCCTCCAAGCTATACATGTTAAGATCCTTTAACTTTTTTTTTTAATGCCAAACTTTTTATTTATTTATTAAATATTTTACCAGGATGGATACATTGAGATTTCTCTTGTTTTCAAGTAAACAGCAAATAAAATATAAAAATGTTCTAACTCGTCTATTCTACCTGTGAGCAGTGTTCACCTCAAACTTGCAGTTCCGTTGTGATTACTTAATAAACCTCAAAGTGTTCGGACCTGCGTGTCCAATATGCTTGATGTACCCTTCACGCATGTATTTGCCCATTTTTGCTGTACTCAATAAAATGCATTATATACCTATTAATATACCTCAAAGTGAATAAGCCTCAAATTAACCCCTTGATCAAATGTACTTACCTTCTCTTTTACTTGCTCTAAATTTTGCTGTTAGCGTTGCCAGCTCTTTCTTCACCCCGTCACGTTGAGCTTGTGTAAAGTGACTTTTTTGGGGGGCAGCAAGCTTTGGCAGTGGTTGTAGTGGTTGTTCTTTGTTCGATACTCTTCTAAGGGGAGTGGGATCAGTAAATCTTCCTCCGGCACTCTCCTCCTCTTCCTCTGTGCCACTCACTCTTTCAAAGCATGCTTGAGATACAATGTAACTTATTTTCCAAATGTTTCATTCATAAAACGTTCCTGTGCCAGTCTCGCCTCATCCCACTGAGTTTGGAATATGGCATTCCTCTTTAGCCGTAGGAACACAACGGAGATACTTTCAAGGAACTGAGTAGATTTAGAGTGCAAGCTCTCAAGACCACTTCTTTTTTCCTCTGTGATTTTTTTGTTGTTTTTTTTTACCCGTCCACTTCTACTTTAACTCTTTAGTTTCACTTTTCCCAGGATCCTCTACTTGTTTCATTTCCCAGGGAACTTCTCTGGCACATGAAGTGGTCTAGAAGGCACTTTGAAGCCACATTAGGTGTGGCCTTCTCTCCTCCCCTCTTCCTGGGTCCTCTCTACCTCATACCCGGAATTCCAAAAGGGTGCAGCTGCTACGGAGAGCACAGTGGGACAACCTGAAGACAATAGCTTTCTGTTCCTCCCTCCCCTGACCCTTCCTAGATATTCCAGTTCTGAGGGAGGGGCCCGTTGATTGTCTGTGTGGGGAATGACATCAAACATTCTTTGTTATTGTTTACACAGCACCACACAATGTACACACAGATTGCACAAATTAATCTCAGCATTCGTTACATACAAGGGAAGCGAATAAAAGCTTTCGCTATTTTTTTTTTTCTAAAGTCTGGTAACTTCAATAAAATAAAAAAAAATGAGTCGTGTTTTTTTTTTAATGTTAGTTTATTATTAGAAAAAGTTTTTCTAACCTATTAAAAATAAAAATATTTATTTAATTTAAGGGCGATTGATAAACAGTTTGCAAAGGTTAGGGCAAAGTCAGCAATGTGGCAAATTAACACACTAATTGTTATTCATTAAACTTCGAATTGAAGTGAATTGAAATCTGAATGAGAAAATTTTGATTATAGAGCTGATTTACAAAACTTATACAATTAAGAAAAATTTGCTGTTTGGCTGTTCTAGACTAAATTTCAAGTTTTACGTTGAAATTTGGAAATTACTTTGAATTCTTCGACACTGTCAAAAATTAAAATAAGAATTAAAAAATTTTAGGTCCAACTTGAAAGCTTAAAACGGGCATTTTTAGAATGTTTGGAATTGGCGATTTAACTTAAAATTTGTAATTCCGTGACCAATCTCTGTATTAAAAGATAACCATAAGACAATAGTTTTGCCCAAATTTCTAAACTCAGGTTATCACTTCTCTACAATTCACTACAGTTTATTAATCAGTTTATTAATCAGTTTATTAATCAGTGAATTAACTCCCTGTTAACTGTTTCCTACCCAACTTTTACATAGTCTAGCATTGCCGGATCCTATTAAAGTCCTATAGCCGGTTGATTTGAGCACAAAGAACTCTTTAATTAAGGGCTATTGTACAGCGCTACGGAATCTGATGGTGCTATATAAATAGTAATAATAATTATTATTTACTAAAGTTGCACCCTGCAGGGCATCAATCATTTTAGCACTAAAAATATAATAGAATATTTATAAGCCAGCCTAGTTATTGTGACTTTCAACTGTCCTGAGCTTGGTGACAATAAGACAATGAATGTGTTCTGTCCAGGCTACTGTCACACCCACGCTCCTCTCAATAGAGAATTGTGTTGTGCAAAAAAAACCAAAAAACTATATTTTTCTCAATCCGCGTTCACTGTTTCATCGAGTATAATTTGTTTTGGATTCGGTCTCCCACCCACAATGCACCGCTCAGCCTTTGTTTACCTGGCGTTACAGATCGCTGAATAAAATCCTTTTATAGAACTGCAGAGCTGCTACCATTAACCGCTGGCACCATTACAGCCACAGCATCTGCAGAAACAGAGAACGTTAACCCTTTCAGGTTCACCTACTAAACAAAGCTCCCCTCAATCAATAAAAAATAATTTTATTTTGTGTCTTGTTACGTAAGAGGCAGAGATGCAACCCCTAGGCCGTAACATGCTTTCCTCTAAAATTCACATGTATGGGCCTTTTATTCACTGTTTATTTACCTTTATACAAAGCTGTAAAATGCATGTTTTAATCACTTGCCAATGTGCCTGGATTTCCTAGGCCAGTCCCTAATGTACGGTCTTTGCACCAGTATCCTACAACACCAAGTTTGTTCCAGATTGTAAACTGAGCTTTAAAGAGTGGGGGTGCTGGGGGAGGGGGGATATTGGGGAGAGGAATAACATGTCAGTAGAAGGAATGAAGTGGTCAGTTTCAGCACGATCTAAGTTACACTTAACTAGTGCAAGTCTTACATGGCTATTCAATAAAATCAGAATTGTTGGGAATTTGAAGTGAATTTTCAAATTTAAGATCAAAACTGCAAAACCTGAAAAATTCTCCAAGGAAGCAATTCTACCAGTTCAACTATTTTGGCCTTAAATTTGAAATTCAATTTGAATTTCCAACAGCCCTGGCAGGTGTTCTTCTTCTGATCTCAGATGTAATAAATGCTATATAAACAATACATAAGTCCTGTATGTAATTATTTAACAATGATGGGTACATTTAGCATTTCACAGGCATTGGGACAATAAAACGGGTCACAACAATGTGATGTCATATAATCCTTTCATTGAACAGGTCCATTTTGATATAACCAATTTATAGAAAATATGTTTGATTGCCATAAAATCTGTGTGAAGGTGGCCATCTTGGATTTACATCACCATTTGAAAAGACGTAGAGCCTACTAAGAGAACGTATAGCATTCCCTTTTGTCGGAAAGAGAGAGATTAAAAAAAAAATGACAAAAACTCTTTTAGCGTGACACTGCGACTAGACAAAACATCCATTCTGGTTTATTTAGCATTGGAAATAAATGAGGCAGCATGTCAGTAGCCTTCAACAAATACACAAAGACATACGTTTATTTAAATGGGTTTTTTTTTAGCTGCATTGGTAACAAAACTTTTACACATATTTGCTACTGCTCCTTGTCTCGCATGACAGCAAGGCTACAATTAGAAATGGTAAAGAAACACTATATGCACCATAACCACTACAGACTACTGTAGTAGTTATGGTGCAGAGGTGTCCTGGTGCCCCCCAGGGTTAGCATTTGAGAATGGTTTGACAACTTACCTGGGGTCCACCAGTCACCCGCCACAGACTCTGCGACTGAGCAGTGCAGAGAGGTGCCCATTGGCTGAGAGACCTCAGTTGATGCTTTCAGCCGACATTAGCCCGTTAAGGACCGAACTGTTTTGGCCCTGTTGTACGTTAAGGACCAGGGCTGTTTTAACACTTTTGTGGTGTTTGTGTTTAGCTGTAATTTTCCTCTCTCTCACTAACTGTTCCCATACAAATTATATATATTTTTTCAGGACAAAAAGGGCTTTCTTTACATACCATTATTTGTATCATGTCATATAAATTACTTAAACATTTTTTTTTTTACAAAATATGGTGAAAAATTTTAAAAAACAAAAACATTGATTTGGATTTTTACTTGAAAAAACTTTTACTCATCTACAAAAGCTAATGAAAAAAACTGCTTAATAATTTAAACATTCTGCCCTGAGTTTAAAAAGACCCAGTGTTTACATGCTTTTTTTTTTTTTGGTGCAAATTATAGGGCTATAAGTACAAGTAGGACATTGCTGTTTCAAAATATATATTTTGAAATTTATCAATACTGACATTGTAACACTGTTATCTGTCATAAATCTCTGAATCACACCTCACATGTGCATATTTTTTTTAAAAGTAGTCAACCCAGGGTATTCAATATGGGGTATGTCGAGTCTTTTTTAGTAGCCACTTAGTCACAAAGACTGGCCAAAGTTAGCATTTATATTTGTGTTAAAATGCAAAAAAAACAATTATGAACGCTAACTTTGGCCAGTGTTTGTGACTAAGTGGCTACTAAAAAAGACTGAACATACCCCACTTGCAATAACTTGGATTGTCTTCTTTTGCAAATGGTATGCCATCATGGGGGTAATTCTCATTCCTGGGCTACCATACGCTCTCAAAGGCAACGTAACCAATCTGGCAATTTGAAAGAAAAAAAAACAGAAAACCAAGCCTAATATTTGACCCTGTAACTTTCAAAAACACTATAAAACCTGTACATGGGGGGATACTGATATACTCGGGAGACTTCGCTGAACACAAATATTAGTGTTTCAAAACTTTTTGGTACTGTGAGTGTCTCCTAGTTCTGTAGTAAATGCTGTGCATGCTACCTTCTGATGTTGTAATAGCTTTGTGTGTAGTCTGGTGCTGTGGCAAGTGAAATCTGGTACTGTGGGAGCAATCTGGTGCTGAAAAGTAAAAAGTGTTGTGGGTGCAATCTGGTGCTAACAGAAGCTTTTTGCAGGAACTTTGACCTCTAAAACTGGCAGACCCAAAATATGTTGTATAATCGTTTTTAAATGCTTAGGCTATTAACAGAGGGCATTCCGGAAAACATAGCCGCTACATTGGGCTATCGTTTTTATGGTAATTCCTTGGAAGAATTATTTATGGGCTCAGTGTTGACACTGAAGAGTTGTAAAAATAATTTGCTTAATGATATAAACGAGGGATAAAAAAAACGTTTTATTGAAAACAATAGAGTAGCTGTACTTTAAAGGATCCCATAAAATGTTAGTCTTCTATTTATGGTAACAGTTTAACACTGGAAATTTATTTACAAGAGTCTAGTTAAAGAACATCATAATATGGAATTATTGGCATATTTGTCATCACTATTAAAAATAAATAAATAACTAAAAAACAATGTTGTTGTGGTCATTTTCTATCCAAGGCATGCCTCCTGTGACTTTATATATAGCAGTGATCAGTTCTAAGCTAACGTTATTGTTAATGTTTGTTTAGTGTTCCTGCCAGTTAGCATTAAAAGGTAAGAGTGCAGGTTGTATAAACACTCAATATGGTAATGTCTAACATGCACCCTGCAGTGTTAAATCTACTCATCATTTATTTAGGAATTATTTCACTTCTCCAGCTCCTTTAAAGTCACAGATAAACTATTCTAGCCTAAAACTTGCAATTTGGCTTCCAGTTCTGGACGATTGGCTGCACAGTGAAGCTCATTGCTTTATTCTATATATCACAGCAAGACACATATTTCGATTTAAAGGGACACCATAATCACCAGAACAACTACAGCTTATTGTATTTGTTCTGGTGAGTAGAATCATTCCCTTCAGGCTTTTTGCAACAAACACTGTACCGTCAGAGAAAATGCAGTGTTTACATTACAGCCTGAGGATACCTCTGCTGGCTACTCATAAGATGGCTACTAGATGTTCTTCCTGGGGCAGTGCTGCACAGTGTGACTGACATTCAGTGTCTCCACCATCTATGGGAAAGCATTGTGATTGGTTGAGATCACCACTTCTGATTATGTCAGCTAAGGAGGCAGATCAGGGGCAAAGCCAGCAGCAGCAGACTGGAATAAATGTAAGATTTTACTATATTAAGGGGGGCTAGGGGAGGCCAGATGGGGTTTTTAACACTATAGAATCAGGAATACATATTTGTGCTCCTGACAGTATAGTGTTCCTTTTGAACATTTTGCCATTCATTCCTATGGGACCAATTTTGCCACAAGAACGACGATATTCTGTGAACCATTCGGCGAAACGTTCCTCAAAGTAATAGCAATCCAATTGGGAACAATCCGCACGTTTCGGTATATTACGGTCTATGTAGTGTAAAAACTGTGGAAGACGTTAGGGTGGTAAATTTGGCTATGATAATAATATTTCCTGGCCATATCCATGGCAGCACAACATTGGCTTTGGGTAGCTCCTCCCTATCCCCATTGGACAGGAATAATTATTAAGCTGTATAAGTACCACCTCCTACCCCTCCTTCCCCAGTCTTTTTTTTCCTGTCCTATCCCTAGGACATGTCGGTCTTTTCAGACTATTAGAATTTCTTTATGGCTTACCTGAGGATTAGTTCCTCTGGCCCCTGGGGAGTTCACCCTATCTCCCCTGGGAAGTCTCCAGTATACGGCCCTGCGCAAAGGTGTCCCCCTGGAGAGAACCCCTTTAGTGACCGGGGGTTTTACCTTCCTATGATTCTTCCAATAATGTAGCAAGTGGAATAACATGGAATTATGGCTGGTTTCCGGACTTGGAATCTCCCCCCAGAATCAAGGTAATGGCTCCATGATTTGGTTCTTACCTGTAAGATCATTCTTCTGAAGATACAGTAGGTAATCGGTCTCCTTCTCTAAGAAAACTGTAATCTCTATGTGCTGGGGTTCCCCTGTGCCTGCACGGCGTTCGGGAATTCCTGTGCACCTGCGCGGCGTTCGGGAGTTCCTGTGCGGCGTTCGGGAGTCTCATGGGCGCCTGCGCGGCATTCGTGGGCTCCTGGACGCATGCGCGACGTTCGGTTGTTTTAGGCGTTCGCGCGGCTTCGTTTGAATAAGCGCGCGAACATTTGGGCCGTTCGCGCGTTTTTTCGCTCAAGGAATTCTCACTTTAATGTTTAGAATAAATAAGTAAAAATCTTCCTTTTGCCGCAGCCATTAGTTGTTCTATGGTCCTTTTGTCCGATTTGGTCTTTTTATTCACTTGAACAGAGAAATGTATTTGCGCTTTGTTGTAGCAACCATCAGGTGTGGCAGAGATTAGACATGAATGATAGAATTCTTATCATTTTTGCAGTTACTTCATATACTTAAAGGGTCAGAGGTCAAACACAAGTAATCTTAGCTATAGGTTTAACCCTTTCACAACCGGTGTAAGGCAAACGCTTATATAATGCAACAGCCCTGACATCACTAATCCTTAACAGCATTTTCTCACTTTTAGCAATGGAAGGCATAGCTGGTACTTATAATGTAAAGGACCACGTGCTTCCAGAAACAAAAGCTCAACAATTGGTCCAAAAACAGCCAACTGGGAGAATATTTCAGTTTAGATGTTTTGGCATAAATGTTAATTCTCAACTATTTACACTTTTCTTTTAACATGGAACTCATATTTTACTAGTTCTCATGGAGAGAGAGAGATGTGCCTCTACGAATGAACAGCAGTCAATAATAAGACCTATAAATGTAAAAATTGTAGATCATGTCATTTGATTAATCAGGTGAAAAAATAAAGCAAGGGCTGCCATGAAAGCAAAATAACATTTCAAATTTGAGGCCAAAAAATGCCAAACTGCTCTTCCCTCTGGCCCAGGCTCTCCCGGCATTTCCCTTGGTACCAGAAACATAGAATGTGACGGCAGATAAGAACCATTCGGCCCATCTAGTCTAATACTTTCATTAGTCCCTGGCCTTATCTTATAGTTAGGATAGCCTTATGCCTATCCCACGCATGCTTAAACTCCTTTACTGTGTTAACCTCTACACCACTTCAGCTGGAAGGCTATTCCATGCATCCACTACCCTCTCAGTAAAGTAATACTTCCTGATATTTTTAAACCTTTGTCCCTCTAATTTAAGCTTTAGTTGCTCTTCCCTCTGCCTCTCCTTTGCCCCAAGATCTACCCCTGTGTGAGTGAGAGTTGGGCTGTCTGAGAATAGGTTTGGAGTGATTGTGTGTGGGGAATGGAGATTAAAAGGACGGATTGTTTTCCTTGCACTGCGGGTCCCCTCTCCCCCCCCCCCATCCTCTGTTGCTGAAGGTGTGAAAACCCCTTCAGTCACTTACCTGAGACCCCCGCCGATGTCCCTCGTGGCGGTTTCTGCTCGCCGCCGCTCCTCCCCTTCATGTCAGCCGGTGGGCTAGACTATTCCCACCCGCCGAGTCCGCATGTGCGGCCATGCTGCAGACGCACATTAGAGCTCTCCATAGGAAAGCACTGAAAATTATTTCCTATGGGGAATTGAGCAACTCTGGAGGTCCTCACACAGTGAGGACGTTTTGCAATGCTCTAGCACAGAAAAACTGTGCTATGGAGCAGGAAGTGACCTCTAGTGGCTGTCTAGTAGATAGCCACTAGGGGAGGACTTAACCCTGCAAGGTGATTATTGCAGTTTATAAACCAACTACAATAATTACACTTGCAGGAATAAGGGTAGTGGGAGTTGGCACCCAGACCACTCATATGTGCAGAAGTGGTCTGGGTGCCTATTGTGTCCCTGTAAGGGATCACTATAGGGTCAGGAACACAACCATGTAGAGCTAAACACACCATTTACATGGCTTGCCCACTATATAACTCCTTATTTCCAGTGCCGGCAAACCCCTTTGTGACAATCAAAATGGCATATTTTAGCCAATCCAATGCCTTCACTTTGCTAAAATCAGCACGGGGCTGAGCCAAATGCAGTTTTGGCCAATCAGGACATCCTCAGAGATGCATTGAATCAAGATTTCTCGAGGGCTGCACCATTCCTGTGGAACTCTTCCCTCCATTAGATGCTCAACCAGTCTCCACTCCTTCAAAAAAATATCGCTAAAAACCCACTTCATAAAAGCGTATCAATTAAACTGCTAATAGCTCCTGACTGATTCCTCTTCTGCAACTGTCACTAGTCTAATACTATCCTTACCTTTTTGTGTCATTTTACCCCACTTCCTCAACCCCTCTGTTCCTATGTGTCCAACTTGTCTGGTTACAACTACATGTCTGTTCGTCCACCCATTGTAAAGCGCTGCGGAATTTGACGGTGTTCTATAAATATCATGATAAATCTGAGTAAAATTCAGTGTCTACATGGAGAAAGTGGGGATGTTAGACAGTAGGGCTGTTTACTGAACAGCTCTGAGCCAGAAAGCACCTCCAGTGGCCACTTGAAGGTGTCCCTAGGGGCACTGCAAATACATGAAAATGCCTGAAGGGAGCCATTATACGCCCCATAACAAAAACATTAAGCTGTAGTTCTGGTGACTAATGCCCCTTTTAAAGGACCACTATAGTGCCAGGAAAGTGAGTTTTCCTGGCACTATGGTGCCCACACCCTCAGGGCCCCCTCCTGCCAGGCTCTAGGAGGTGAAATGTACCTTTCTCCAGCACCGGGGACCCTCCTCGCGGCACAATGCTTTCCTATAGATGCTGGCATCTTCTCACTGAAAATCAGTGAGAAGCGCCAGTCAATGAGACAGCCACTAGAGGCTGGATTAACCCTATTATACACAGCAGTTTCTCTGAAACTGCTATGTTTATAGAAAAAAAAAAAAAAGTTAGTCCTAGCTGGACCTGGCACCCAGACCACTTCATTAAGCTGAAGGGGTCTGGGTGCCTATTGTGGTCTTTTAACATAAATGTTAATGCATTTTCTTTTAATTAAAAAGACCCACACTTTCCCCTCTTACCATTTCCATGCAAGGGGGACAGGACTGCGCTGCATTCCCTGGTGATCCAACGATCTAGAGTTCACTCTTGCAAGATCTGGAGCATTGCCATGGTAACTGCAGCAACACTCCAACCTTGCAAGAGGAACCCATCAGAGCTGCAAGATAGAGCTCCTGGGCTAACAAGGGAAATCCTGTGATCTTCCTTGCCAGAGGACCTGGTTCATCAGTCCCCAGCCCATGGCAGAACCACCATTACAGAGTTCTTTTTGGGAACCCCTGTACTAGAAGACTAGTCTTTTCAAGTTATGATTGACGGTTGCTCCATTCGTTGTGTCTCTTTACTATAAGATTGGGAGTGCCTGACCTCTGGTTGCATTCCCAGCCTTGGTGGACCTCTTTATCGCACAACATTCCAAATCTTCTCCTAAACATACTAATCTCAGCACAATAAACTAGCAGTTACCTGCATTGATTTTTTACAGGCTATGTAAATTGTAGACTTACATCCACACCTCAAGTAGTCTTACAGCAAATTACAGTATTTACACAAGTTATAAAGAACACTTAGACATCTCTTATCTGCTTTCTGGTGCAAAGGACGTTTAGCTCATTAACCAGCAACACAATCATGTAATTGAATGAATATTTTATTGCTTTCACTTTAGACAGATCAAACAACTAAATTTGTAGTCTTGTCCTCGGCTCTGCATTCTGAGTGTCAGAAAGAATCTTATCCCTTATTCCATCAGGAGGAACATTGTGGCAGTTGGTACCTGTAGAACAAAAAGACAGTCAAGCTCTCTGTACACACAAAAGGAGTCTGGATTCTACAACACTGCTCAAAAAAAAAAAAAAAAAAGTTTCCTCTCAAATCCTATTCAATGAATCCTTTTAAACAATTAGAAAAAAAAAAATGTCACAACTACTTGCATCAGTAAAAGCACGTTCCACAAGTGTAGAATGAACATTAATCAGAGCTGCAGGTTCTATAAATCCTGACCAACCAAGATTTGGATACACTTTTAACCACGTTTTCGCCCTTTAGAAATGCATGTTCCACCTCACCCACTAGTTATCCAACCCAGAGCGGATGTGATGCAGGGAAGCCACACATCGTGGATGGATCCATTTAGCTGTTCAGAACGGAAAGCTAGCAATATAAGGACCTCTTACAGGATAAGCCATTTTAAAAACAGGCCTAGTAACTGGTGAAGCCTAGAATAATGCATACCCTAATCATACAAGTAAATGTCCAAACAAGCACAAACCCCCCATTACATGTCAAGCGTGTCAGAGCGTTTACTAAAGCATCACTGGTAATTCAGAGACTCTAGTCTAATGCTGTCATCAGCCACGCTTATGCTTTGTCATTAGGTTAAACTGAGTTACATACACTTACCGTGGGAAGAGCCAACAGGTAACTTGTTCAATCAAATCCTCAGTGCCACCTGCAGAAACAGGATAAAGATTAACTACATAACAAGGAAGTCATTTACTTAAGACTATAGAGACCCAGAGTTTAAGTATGTAAAGGCAACCTTCGGCAATCCAAATGTTGTGGACCAAGTCTCCCATAATACTCAAAGCCCTAAAGCTGGCAAAGCATCTGGGAGATTTAGTCCACAACTTCTGAAGTGCCGAGGTTGCCTAATCCAGGGCAAAAGCGTGTCAGAGCGTTTACTATAACTTCATAACATTCAGAGACTCTAGTCAAGCTGTCATCATTCACGCTCACTCTGCAATACAGGCTGGGGTAGTCAATATTGCCACCCAGCTTCCTGTGGTTACAGTTTACAGTCAGTTTGTACTCTAGACATGTTCGGATACATTAACCCTCTACAGAACCAAAAACACAGGTAGTTTATAAACAAAAGGAAGTCGTTATAAAGACATGCCAACGGGTAGGATATTACATTATTATTTCATTTTAAGAGACTGCTATATCACCATGCACATTTTTTACATACCAAGGTCAGTGATGGCGACCAGCTGAAGACGTCACATGAAAATGGATTAAGATTAAAACAGCAGTCACTGCACCTGCAAATACATGGATTGTTAAAACCCACACAAAAAGGGATATAATTCACATCAACGTGTACGGTGTGAGCATTTCAGAGCGTTTACTAAGGCTTCATAACATTCAGAGACTCTAGTCAAGATGTCATCATGCATGCTCACAGGGCTTGGACTGGAGTCAAAGTATAACACAGCCAGTCTTTAGCTTGCTAAGTGAATTCTATATGCAGTCAAGCCATGCTTACCTTAGTTTGCAGCATACAGCAGTGTCATTCCTCTGACCGTCAGCTCAGTACACCCTGCAATAAAACAGAACAAACATTAGCATTCTGTATAGACTGCAATGCAGCTTCCAGAGAAGCCAAGGCCGGTCAGAACGCTGCGGATGTTTCATCACTATATGGATCATGAGTTATTGATCTCATCATTTACAGGCCAAGCATTTAAAGGGACTCCATCATCAAAAGATTATGTATGGAATATAAATGCAGTGGTTACAATTTTAGCTACTTTTAATAGCTCACGGTTTGAGCTAAATTCACAGATTAGCAGAAACGTTTAGGGAGGTGGAGACCAACTGATAAGGCAGTGGTGCATCACACAACAGCGCAGAACAATGGGTTATCCATGCGCAAAGTAGATAAAAGTCATCTGTACTAGCCACCGATCATGAAAGTAAGCCCCTGGGAGGAGATTTGAAAACTTACTATAAAGCAGATGTTAAGTAAGAGCTAGGTTTGCTGCAGCAGGTGGCAGTTTACAAATATGTTTTGATGATAGATTCGCTTAGACATGGAGAAATGCTGAGTCCGTACTTACGATCTATACGCCATTCACATCCGCCAACGCGTAGACCCAGTCCATATCACCAACATGGCTTCCATTACCTGTAACAATACATCATACAAAGTTAGAGAACAATGACAACTCTAGCCAGAAGTCAAATAAAAAAAATCACAAGTGACGATACATAAAGTTACAGACAATATTGATAGCATTACTGCCTTGCACACAGAGATACTATTAACATTATACAAATAACATAAATAATTATATACAATGCTCCATAAGGGAAGCTATCTCCATCCTCTACCTTTGTAGGAGTATCTGGGGACGGTATACACCAGGATGGCTCGGATACAGAACGGATTGAAAGTGGAGACTGGCCGCCATTTCTAGACACAGCTGAACACCAAGCGCCATATTACCACTCCAACACCAAAAGGGAGAAGAGAAAGATGGCCGCTGCAGCAGCTATTTATAATCCTGATAAGCCACGCCCACTGCCCTGGCGTCCTCACAGCCTGAATGAGATATTTGAGCTGCCCGAGGAGCGCCTGTCTGGAAAGCACTGAATAAGCCAGACCCTAGAAAACAGAGATTTCTCATATAAAACTTGGTTCATACCTATTTTAATGACATTTTACCTAAAGACAGGATGGGGCACTGGAACACACACACAATGCATCCCTGCCAGCACAGCTCAGCTCACTGTATACTTTGACAACAATTGTAAAATATTCAGGTTTAATTGTATACCATCACACTCACAACGTATTACAATAATTGTACAACAAGCTGGGCACTGCATTGCACTGTCTGCTTGTTTTCTGAGAACTGGCATAGTTTAAGACAGCCCTTGGTTGGCAATCACCCTGGGGTCCTTAGTGATGTCAGCCATGTTGCCAACCAGCGAGTGATGGCGCCGCAGACCGGAAGTACTGTCCCGAAGTTTGGCGCCTTGTTTGTCCCGCCCTAACTTGGAGAAAGAAACCCGTTTCAGGTATGTCGGGGTGTTTATCGTTACGATATCTCCGCCATCCTCAGCCATCCCGCTCCCTGTACCCCGGGAACCGATAGCGGGGGAGCCCCTCTGTCAGCCGGCTGTATATTTCTGTGTCAGCCCCTCAGGGTGATGAGGGAGGTGGGTTTGTGGAAGAGACCGAGGTCCGTTGGCAATGGCTTCCAAGATGGCGGCCTCCAGGCTGCTGTCTCCTTAGCCATCTCCCAGGACTCCATTCTACAGCCCTGTTCAGCCAGTGGTCCCTGAATGGGATGGTCTTCAGGGGGCGGGGCCTCACTCCCTTGGTGACCATATTATTTATCAGAATTAGTATTTGCATGGTGACAAATGGGCGGGTCCAAAGTAAGTGTAGGTGGAGCCAAACCTGCATTATTAGAAATGATTGGTAACCAGGTTCCCGGGGCCGGGGCCGGAGAGCCAGGCGCCGGAGAGCCAGGCGCCCGGGGCTGGGGCCGGAGAGCCAGGCGCCCAGCAGGATTTACTGATAATATAGGGATTCACCCAAATGGACAGTCAGGATGCCCATGGCAGGAAACCGAAAATTACCTTTGCTCCAAATGATTTTAAAATAGTTTTTTTTTTTTTCTAAAATTTTATTAATATTGGACTTTTTAATTAATCTAATATGAAAAACTGCAAGCCAATAAAATAAATTAATAAGAGATCTTCTCATATTACATTTTATACTGCTGAGGTTGGCAGTCTTAAATTAATATATACACAACATTAAAAAAGGAATAAAATAATGTCACTATACCCACACTGTCCATATAATGATATAATGCCACTATACACACACTGCCCATCTAATGTCACTATACCCACACTGTCCATATAATGATATAATGCCACTATACACACACTGCCCATATAATGTCACTATACCCACACTGCCATCTAATGTCACTATACATACACTGTCCATATAATGTCACTATACCCACACTGCCCATATAATGATATGTCACTATACCCACACTGTCCATATAATGTCACTATACCCACACTGCCATCTAATGTCACTATACATACACTGTCCATATAATGTCACTATACCCACACTGCCCATATAATGATATAATGTCACTATACCCACACTGTCCATATAATGTCACTATATACACACTGCCCATATAATGTCACTATACACACTGTCCATATAATGTCACTATACCCACACTGCCCATATAATGATATAATGTCACTATACCCACACTGTCCATATAATGTCACTATATACACACTGCCCATATAATGTCACTATACACACTGCCCATATAATGTCACTATACACACACACTGCCCATATAATGATATGTCACTATACCCACACTGTCATATGTCACTATACCCACACTGTCCATATAATGATATAATGTCACTATACCCACACTGTCCATATAATGATATAATGTCACTATACCCACACTGTCCATATAATGTCACTATATACACACTGCCCATATAATGTCACTATACACACTGTCCATATAATGTCACTATACACACACACTGCCCATATAATGATATGTCACTATACCCACACTGTCCATATAATGATATAATATCACTATATACACACTGCCCATATAATGTCACTATACCCACACTGTCCATATAATGTCACTATATACACACACTGTCCATATATTGATATAATGTCACTATACCCACACTGTCCATATAATGTCACTATACACACACTGTCCATATAATGTCACTATATACACACTGTCTATATAATGTCACTATACACACACTGTCCATATAATGTCACTATATACACACACTGTCCATATATTGATATGTCACTATACCCACACTGTCCATATGATATGTCACTATACACACACTGTCCATATAATGATATAATGTCACTATACCCACACTGTCCATATAATGTCAATATACCCACACTGTCCATATGTCACTATACCCACACTGCCATATAATGTCACTATACCCACACTGTCCATTTAATGTCACTATACCCACACTGTCCATATAATGTCACTATATACACACACTGTCCATATAATGATATGTCACTATACCCACACTGCCCATATAATGTCACTATACACACACTGTCCATATAATGATATAATGTCACTATATACACACTGCCCATATAATGTCACTATATACACACTGCCCATATAATGTCACTATACACACACTGCCCATATAATGTCACTATACACACACTGCCCATATAATGAAATAATGTCACTCACATACCAATGTTTCTGAGGATGCAGGGAGTTTGCTGAAGGCCAAAAGGGGGGCTAATCTGCTCTTAAAGAGTGTGACCAGGCTGACTGACAGCCTGCCCACTCCAATAAACGAGGCATATAACACATCTAAAGAGCTTGATGCATCGTCCTATTACCCAGTCCTCTCCTCCATTTTGAAATCAGCCTACAGATTTTAAAATGTGACAATCCCCCAGTACATACATTTGCTGCAACAGTATCCCAAAGTACAGGACTGTCCTGGTAAACACAGGAATTCTGGCACCTATGCCACACTCACCCCCATGTCCCGGTAGAGCAGTTCCCTGATATCGCTCTCCGCTCCGGGATCACAGGGGGTGGCAGAATGACATGGCGGCCGGTGTGTTTGGCTCTGCTCAGTGTGCTCACTACCCACACCATGTGTCCTGCTGTCACCACTCACTGCCCCAGCATGCTCCGCACTGCCGGCCTTTATTAGCCAGCTCTCCTCAATGGTCCGCCCAGCGCACTCTCCCGATCACCCAGCCCTGGAGTCAATACCATGCGCGCGTGCACAATTACTTCCTCTCCCACAGTACAATGATTACTGTATGACATGGGTGTAATTTTCGGCAGATTTTATCCATTTTCATCCGAAATGGGATAGGCTCGTTTTCAGACAGAAATTTTAGTGCATCCCTTTTTACTATACCTGTGGATATGTGTGTTCATATATTGGTGTCTATTCTTCAATAGTAAGAATGGATCAGTGATCCATTCCTAACACTTTAATACAATAAATACTAAGGAATATAGTCAAAAGCAATTGAGATAAATAATTGAATACCTGCATTCAGCATTGGAGATATACACATATATATATATATATATATATATATATATAGTTAATACAATGCTAAACAAAAATCTGCACACCAGTCAAGCCATAAGACTTGCTTTTCCCACAGAAATCCCAAATCAGCAGTGATGTTACAACCGCAAAGGATTCTGGGTGGGCATATGCAAATTAGTTTAACAAAGAATCACATTTTTGCCTCATTCCATTTTAAACATGGATTCCTTTTAATTTGTGTTTGCAATATACAACTGCTTGGAACACAATTTAGGATAAGATGCAAAACCAGTGAACCACTCATGGACAGCTGTTTCATTGTTAATGCAACTCTTCAGCATGAGGTTGGTTACTGGTTTGCTAATTGAGGCTTGGTAGTGCTTGGGAAGCAAAATCTAAATCTAAACAGGTTATAGTGTATAGTGACATTATATCATAAGGACAGTGTGTGTATAGTGACATTATATCATTATATGGACAGTGTGTGTGTGTATATAGTGACATTATATCATTATATGGCAGTGTGTGTATAGTGACATATCATATGGGCAGTGTGTGTACAGTGACATATCATTATATGGGCAGTGTGTGTATAGTGACATTATATCATTATATGGACAGTGTGTGTATAGTGACATTATATGGCAGTGTGGGTATAGTGACATTATATGGGCAGTGTGGGTATAGTGACATATCATTATATGGACAGTGTGTGTATATAGTGACATTATATGGACAGTGTGTGTATATAGTGACATTAAATGGACAGTGTGGGTATAGTGACATTATATGGACAGTGTGGGTATAGTGACATTATATGGACAGTGTGGGTATAGTGACATTATATGGACAGTGTGGGTATAGTGACATTATATGGCAGTGTAAGTATAGTGACATTATTTTGTTTAGCATTGTATTAACTATCCACATACTTCAGGTGGAAGGGGTTTTCAATCACAATTTTTCCCCACCATAACCTATTTAGATTTTGCTTCCCAAGCACTACCAAGCCTCAATTAGCAAACCAGTAACCAACCTCATGCTGAAGAGTTGCATTAACAACGAAACAGCTGTCCATGAGTGGTTCACTGGTTTTGCATCTTATCCTAAATTGTGTTCCAAGCAGTTGTATACTGCAAACACAAATTAAAAGGAATCCATGTTTAAAATGGAATGAGGCAAAAATGTGATTCTTTGTTAAACTAATTTGCATATGCCCACCCAGAATCCTTTGCGGTTGTAACATCACTGCTGATTTGGGATTTCTGTGGGAAAAGCAAGTCTTATGGCTTGACTGGTGTGCAGATTTTTGTTTAGCATTGTATTAACTATCCACATACTTCAGGTGGAAGGGGTTTTCAATCACAATTTTTCCCCACCATAACCTATTTAGATTTTTATATATATATATATATATATATATATATATACTAAATTGTTAAATGAAATGTCCCCTGCCCTGTTTGAGTGTTTCCTGAGACAGAGAAGTACCATCACCACTACAGCACACTTTCATTACATAGGGCGGTTGCCTTAATCACTACAGTGAGCTCTAGCGGTTATGGTGCCTGGAGTGTTGCTTTAAACCTGCCTATTCATGGCTAAACTAACCTGGGTACATAATTATTATTATTTACATATGTTAAAAGGAGTACGCTATGTCAAAAGTAAATTTAAACAATAATAGTATTTTCCTTTTTGATTGGGGTATATGGAATCTTAGCTAGTATTCCATAATCAGAAAAAGAAAAAACTGCAGGTGATTTATTAAATGGAATTTGTCTAGGAGGAGTTTATTAAATCTATACATTGCTTACAGCCTTCTATTATCATAGACTTCACACCAGCTTTCATCCGCTTTCAAAATGGCTGAAACAGATGTGGATAATGAACTGTTGGACTATGAAGATGACGAAGTGGAGAACCAGGCTGGAGTTGATGGGCCTGATGTAGCCCCCAAGAAGGAGATTAAGGGATCCTACGTATCAATCCACAGCTCTGGCTTCAGAGACTTTCTGCTCAAACCGGAACTGCTTCGGGCCATTGTGGACTGTGGCTTTGAGCATCCCTCTGAAGGTAAGAGGTTGGTCAAATACTTGAGTACATGACTTTGAGCTCTACGTCACATCTGAAGTGGCACGTCACAGAGCCTCGGCACGAACTGGGCGTGCACATAATTTGACATGCCCAGCTATGGGCAAATTATATTTTGTCCAGGCACTGCCATGTTAAGTGAAAATGGTATCACCTACAAAAAAGAAACGGAGGAACTAGACAACTATGTAAATAGTAGGATAAGCTGGTCCCAGGTCCAAAAATGGAGGGTGTCAGGTGGTACGGAGGAATGGATACCTGAACCGAGGGATCCATACTGTGACACAGCTGCTTTAATGTTGTAGTTGTAGGCTCCCAGATTAGCTAATATGTTACAGTATATACCACATAACTCTTAGAATTGCTAAAATTTATATTGTTACATTTTGCTTTAGTATAGCAAGGGCTAATCAAGGTGGGGTTTATTCGCTAAACTGGTTGAGACAAGGATATCCTTACACTTGTAATACCGTGACTCTCTTATTCTGTCAGACATGTACAGTGTCTACCAGTTCATAAAGTTTCAATTGCCTTTCTTTCTTTCTAGTGCAACATGAATGTATCCCTCAAGCAATCCTAGGGATGGATATTCTGTGTCAGGCAAAATCTGGCATGGGAAAAACTGCAGTGTTTGTTTTGGCCACATTACAGCAGTTGGAACCCGTAACAGGACAGGTGAGTGCGGGAATGGCTTTTCAAATTGTATACCATATATTTTCATTGTGTAGCAAAATCCCGTTACACTCCTGCGTGGAAGGATTCTTCAGGGAGTATTACTTAACTGAGAGGGTAGTGGATGCATGGAATAGCCTTCCAGCTGAAGTGGTAAAGGTTAACACAGTGAGGGAGTATAAGCATGTGTGGGATAGGCATAAGGCTATCCTAACTATAAGATAAGGCCAGGGACTAATGAAAGTATTTTAAAAATTGGGCAGACTAGATGGGCTGAATGGTTCTTATCTGCCGTCACATTCTATGTTTTTATGGCATCTCTACGTTAGAATGTGTTTTTTTATTATTTAAACGTTAGGGAGGATACTTTGAGAATTCTCTAGATTCTGATATGTCCTATTATATGGAAAATCCAATTGTCACACGCTTCGCTTGGAGACACTTGTATTACAATTATATCTTAATATTTTTCTGTGTCTTGCAGGTGTCTGTTTTGGTTATGTGTCACATCAGAGAATTGGCTTTCCAGATCAGCAAAGAGTATGAGCGGTTCTCTAAATATATGCCATCTGTCAAGGTAAGTGAGGGGAAAGTATTCAATCCATACTGCAGGAGAAATCCTTTAAAGTCACATGTCTTTATTCTAAAAGCCATTGTCCATATTTTCTTCTTATTTTTTTCCTTGTCTTTACCAGGTGGCAGTGTTTTTTGGTGGTCTGTCTATTAAGAAAGATGAAGAAATGCTTAAGAAGAGCTGCCCACATATTGTGGTGGGAACCCCTGGCCGAATCCTGGCACTTGCAAAAAACAAGACACTAAATCTCAAGCACATCAAACACTTCATCCTGGATGAGTGTGACAAGATGTTAGAGCAGCTAGGTGAGAAGGGATAATTGGGAAAATCTGGGCTTTTGAAGGTCTGGTGAAAAATTGCCAAGGGGTTGGAAGAGTGATCACCTGATTAAACGAATGGTGGTCTGATCAGGATAATTGGCATTGTTTGGGCATGTAGATTGTAGCAGAATTGATTTTAGAGAAGTAGACTGTTTGGCATTGGGGTTGAATTGGCATCCAGAAGCAGTGAATTTATTGAACAACCTCCAAATGAAATCTCTCTCCACCTTTAGACATGCGAAGAGACGTTCAGGAAATTTTCCGCATGACCCCACATGAGAAGCAGGTCATGATGTTCAGTGCAACTCTGAGCAAGGAGATTCGCCCTGTCTGCCGGAAATTCATGCAAGATGTAATAACCGAATCTTCAAATCCCTTCTCTTCCCAAACCACCCTTTCAGCAACCCCTGGCTGACGCCACCACTCACGGGATGTTGGTGACAAGAAGCTCCAAACCAGTTGCACCGTCACCACCTTTCCACTTACTATGTGACACCGTGAGACAAGTCACACTTGTTCCCTTCCTTGTGTGGCAGCACTACCAGTGTCACACCAGCTAGGTCCTCTCTTGTGTGCCACCGAATCAGATATGTCACAGTAGTCAAGTTGCCTGTGGTCACTCAGTGTAACAGCTGTCAAATATCACTGAGTTTATGTGACACAATCCGAACCATCACACCAGCTTAGTCAAATGTCCCTTAATCTTGTGACAGAAACCGAAGTGTCACACCAGCTCATTCAAATCTCCCCTTAGATGTGACACTATCAAAAATGTCACACGAATTAAAGCAGATCTTCCTTAAATGTGACACAATTGCAAATATCCGTTCAAGAAACGTGGAAACAGCTGCCACATCAGTCTAATCAAATGTTATTTTGTGTGACAGCAGCAAAAATCAGAAATACCCCTTTTAAGAATGTCTATGATGTCCCACAACTAAACGCTGCAGCTGTACCAGCCTTTTATCTAATATTCTCATATTTTGTCACATTTTTTTTGCATTCTAGAGCATATGCTCTATCTTTAGACCATTTCCACGATCTAAAGAAATCATCCTTGTCACTTGAATGTGTCACCTTTTATTGACACTTAAAATTAATCCCTCCCATGTCACATGAATCTGAAATACCTTTTTTTGTTAATGAGACAAGTGACAGTTATATTGTCCCTCCCGATCTATCAAAAGTATTTCTCAGCACCCAAAAGTCAAGTCAATCTTTTGACATTTTAAATATTTTTTTTTAATGTCACTTTCTATTGTGACATGACATTCAAACTGCCACTGCCAAATTAAGAATTTCCCTTTGAATAATTTTTTTTTTTTTTTTTTTAAAACACACCTTTTAATCTGTGATGCTTTTTTATGGTCACCTTTTTGCACGACTTGTCCCTTCAATTTAATATACAAGTTCCAGGGACCTGTCATAGGTGTGTTTACAGATTTATAGAAGGGTGCAGAGAGGACCAGAGACAAGCTAGGGAGAAAGACGGACGTGTAGATATACAAACTCTCAACGGTCAGGCACAGAAAGCCTTTAGCAGTTTTATTGAACAAATAAAGTTTGATTAGTTGTAAGAGTTAAAATTCAGAAATCCAGTTACCTAACCCAGAAAATGAGGTGTTGTGTAAGACACAAGAAAACATTCTAAAGGAGAGGGAGGAGGACAACTATGGTTATACTGCTGGGGTCAGAGTTAGTAGCAGTTATGTGAGTGATGGTTTAAATAGTCCTTTCATCAGATACATAGACCAGACTTTATTGGAGTTAATGCATAACTATGTAATGGAATTAGAAACCTGTTGTAAAAGTAAGCAAGGATTAGTGAGATTAGCAATGAGATCACACACATCTGAGAGCATGGAAGGGACAGATAGATGACTGTGACCTGAAGTATTAACTGACCACAGACGTGAGCAGGGGGTGGTCTTGGGTGTGAAGAAATGGGCATAATGGGTTTTGGAACACAGGGAATGGCAGAGAGTGACGTTTTTAAAGTGGAGCTTAGTAAATCCAGGGAAAACTACTTATGTGGTTTGCCAGCCCACCTCTAACCCTGGGCTTGGCAATACCCATCTGTTATACTTGGGCAATATTCGCCCTTCTTTTATTTCATTGCTTGACCGCACACTCTAACCTTTCTCTCTCCTTTCTGCTTTTCTTTCCTCCTCCTTTTTTATTCTGCGACTTGGATTTGTGTGGATCAGTATGTGTAAACACAATGTCTGTCTTTAGAAAACACGGGAAATATTCAGATATATGCATTTAATATACCATGTATATTTACAGTTGACATAGCCAACTGTATAAAATACAAGCCTATTGTATGCATTCCAAGTTACACCAGTGGCGTTTGGATCATAGTGCGTATCAGTGCTTACCGAACGTTATAATGTTGTGTGCATTATACAATACCCAGGCACAGTGTGAAATGTTTAGATGCTTTCATAATTTGCCTAGGCATTCTATGCGGTTTAGATGTAAAAGATGTATATTTATGTTGGTGATTATTTGGTTAATTTTATGGAATTGTACAGGAGTCGCTGATACAATGTGAATCAGTGAGAGAGTTTATAAGACTGGCAGTTTTAGAGACACTGTGAGGCCGAATCTTTACCTTCTATGACTGCAAATGCTGACTATTATTACTGAAACAAATAAATGGCCCTAATGTGAATCGGCAACTCAGTTCAACGTTTACAATTTCTACTGTGCATTCTGCCCAAAAAAATTTTGGGATGGGTAAGGGGGAGCTTTGTTAGGAAAAACATTCTAATCTGTCAGTATTGATCCTCGATGAGCGAAACAATGCCTTATTCCCACAACTGTCTGATAAAACTTAGAATTGTGAACACATTCAAACACAGTCTTGATGTGCATTTTATACAGATTTTATCTTTATGAAATGCTCAATTATTATTATTTTTTTCCTGATGACAGAGCAGTGTTAATGTTTCTGTGCCGTTTTATCAAATAAGCACTTAGAGCAATGTCAGGCAAACTTCTGCACTCCAGATGTTGGAGGCTACAACTCCCATGAGACTCTTACATTCATAATGCTGGCAAAGCACCAGGGGATATGTAGTCTGCAACATCTGGAGTGCCGCAGATTGCATACTCCTGATTTAAAGGAACCGTACAGGATGAAATTTAACTTTTTCTTAATGCATAGGATGCCCCCACACACTCACACAAAGACATTGGGAGCACAGATCCCCACACACCGCCGCTTGGTGACAATTCATGATTATGACACATACATAGAAGGGTAGACAGAGGGGACAGATAGGCATGTAGATATATTTACTGCTTGTCTGTCTGTGTGTCCTTTCCTTGTTGTGCTGGCTTCTGATCTTCCTAGAAAAGAAAGTTGCAAATGTTTATTTAAAACAGCATATGTATCAAATGCATTGCAGTTATCTTAGGGTCCCTTTTAATGCTTACATTTTCTCTGTCCTGTGTATAACACACACATACTGTAGAACCCTTACGTGTGCATTGATTGTATGGCTCACTTAGTGTATGCATAACGCAGTTCTGCCAGTCTATATAACCTCACATTTACCCTGGACTTTGACAATTCCATAAACTGCCATTAGAGCTGGCCAGAGCTTGTGGCAATGTGTTTATTTTAGAGTGATTAGACATTGTGTTTACACATTAGTTACAGACATGATTGAATGTTTGGACACATTTTACAGATGTAAAGAGGGCCATTACATGCAGGCTATAATCAGAATGGTTCAAGCTTTATTGATAATAGGACCGGTTAGTGTCTCCCACCCAGAATCTCTTTATTTAACCAGGTTTTCAGTTGACACCTATATGCTGCACAGTGGTTACCAGCCACTCACAATCTGAGAGTCCTGTTTCTCTGAGGATAATATTTGTATTTACACACAATGCTGTCCAATCAGCTAGCAGATGTGTAGTTTATTAGATATATTAAAATGTAATTATTATTTCATGCCCTGTGTCTGGCTGCCTGGAGTTTTTACATGGCCCTCTGATATTCTCTGTAATCTCAGCGCAGATGCACACTGATTGCTATGTAAGCGGGCACTGGAACTATAATGTTTTTAGTATATCTGCTATTCTATTCATTTGTTAATGCTTTGGCTATCATTATTTACCACAGTAAGCCGGACTCTCTTCTGGCACTTTGTAAAAGACTCCTGTCCCTCTCTTCTGATTGATTTGATTGGTGTTTGAATGGTGATTGATAATTGGTAAGGGGAGTAGTGTAAATACAATGTATACCACAAACAAAGGACCCAGACAGCTTCAAGGAAAAAATATCAGAACTACTTTAATGCAAAATTAGTTTCCTTTCTGAGCTAAAATTGGTCCTTTATGTACAAAAAGGCTGTGATTTTATCACATATCCATTTCAACTGTTATTTAGTGGTTGTTTTGAAATATGTGGCCCTCGTTAAATCTGTTGAAGCTGTCATGGCATCTTAGCGATAACGAATTGGAGAACAAGATTTGAGCCTGACTTGTATGAATGTATTTTAGAAAAGCCCCTGTCAGACTGGTGATTTAGGGCAGAGAATATTACAGTTTCTCATTTTACAAACAATAATTACTTAAAAGAATAAAATAAAATTTTTGTCATCAGTCTGTCAGGGGACTGTTTGTGCAGTTTACCCACACACACACTTGGTTGAAGCCCCATTTTATTAACGCTGGTCTTCATATGGGGCGAATATTTACAGTTAAATGCTTTTGAGAGCCAGTTTCAAACTGTGTTCTAAAAAGGGCAGTCAGGATTTCACAATATCTGTCAGCCAGATAATGGATTTTAAATGGAAAACCAGAAATATTCCTATGAAACCTGTAGTGCATCTGCCCATTCTATTATGCAGTTTGTTTCTGGGGCCTTTTAACCCTTGATTGAACTTGTGAGCAATAACATTTCACATGCTTACTGCTCAAAGGGTTAATCACATGTAAAACATTTTCCATAGACTCGTTATTGTAAGAATGACCCACTTCCTCTTTATTCTAAAGTTACATCCTTTTCTGTTGTTTGTAATTCTCTGATGGCACAAGTGGGAACCATATATAAAAAAAAATACCAATTTTTATGTATACTGGGTGTCATCTTGAGGGCAGGCACTTGGACAGTGGCTATTTAACATACATCTAAAGATAATAAGGAATCCTGGCAGATTGTGTGAACACTTTTCTGTGAATATATTTTGAAATTAGGCGCACTGCATGCAGGTTGTTAAATTGAGTCATTTCTGTTCTGTCTGGTGAAGGATAAGACGCACCTACCTCCCTGTTGGTGATATGGTGATACTGGGAGTAGCGTTTTTGTTTTTTTGATTGATTTTAATGCTGACTTCAGACTCTTTTTGAGGAAACAGAAGTTACTGTTTATTATAAAAGTGATATTGATGCAGTTATGTTCTGTTTTTGTTTTTTTTTTTTGATGGTACATTGAATGAAGAGGCAAAATGTATAGCATATTGTAGACTGTCCATTTTTTTTTTTTTTGCATTCTTTCCTATAATGTGGCCTGGGATTGACAGTCCCCAGTGGTTTGTGGTTTGTGATCTACCTGAATATTCAGCTTTATGGGTCTAGTATATTTTAGCTGAGGCTTTGCAGCTGTTGCTAATTTATGGTTTCATAAGCTGTTTTCAGTAGCTGCTTATTAACACCTAGCTAGGACAGGTATTGTAACAAAGATGTAGGGATGATTTTCTTGTTCTACATTTAAATAAAAATTATTTTAATAATCTTTCAAATTGGCTGAAGTAAAAGAAACATGCCAAGGCAGTCGACATTTTACAGAGAGCGAGCTCAGAATGTGTTGTATATGGGTGAAATAAAACCAGTGCAGGGACCAGGGTAACCTGAAATTATCTGCCTTCAAATGCCATTGTTGTCTGCGTTTGCACAGCCAGGTCTTCCTTATTTTGTAAATGCATTCGACCATGGCTCGACAAATCCCAGGTTGCCTTGGCGACTATGATTTTTGTCCTGGCGTCTGGGATTTGTCGGGTCGTTTAGCTCCCGGCATGGCTGGCGTGCAGACGGCCGGCTGACAGAGCAGATACTGGTGGCCGTTTTGCAAAGGAACAGCATGGGCGGGCATGCATGCTTGTGGCTCATGGAGGGCTGAGATGGATGGGCGGCGAGGGAGCTGTCATCTCTTTGCTATGTTCTATCGAGCGCCCTCCAGTGATGGTGGGAGACTGAAAATTATATTATTACGGCCCCGGCATCACTAAACAGCGCTCTATGGAGTAGAGCAGGGAGATGACAACAGCCCCACTGAACCCATGGGAAAGCTGAACCACTCCAGCTCTCCCAAAGGTAGGGAGGCTGGGTGGTCACATTAAAATACAAATTAAATGTGTGTGTGTGTCTGTCAGTGTGTCAAATCAGTGAGTGTGTGTTTGTCTGTTTAGGGGTCGGCTGCCCCCCCTCCCTCCAATGACATGGGAAAAGTGTTTTTACTCACCTTTTTTCACCCACACGGTGCTGGTCTTGCCACAGCTGGCCCCAGCTCCATGGCTGAGATCATCAACCTTGATGATCTCATCCAATCCAGTATTTTCCCATAGGGAGAGCATTGGGAGGCTATTGCACATGTGTGGAATCAATGCATCTCTATGGGGAACACCCAAGACAATTCTCTAGTGGCTAGAAATGTTTCTAGACAGCAATGTAAACACTGCCTTGTCTCTGAAAAGGTAGGGCTTGCATTGAAAAGAGTGCAGGAACAGGCTATAGACACCAGAACAACTAAATTACGCCGTAGTGGTTCTGGTGTCTAGTGTCCTTTTAAGAATTGTATTTTTCATGTTAAAAAAAAATCTGCCTCCTAACTTTTTTAGTTTACTAGATTTCAAGCAAATTTGTCAAGCCCTGCATTGTGGGTAATCTGCTTCCTGGTATGGGATGTTTTAAGATGATGAGCATGATAGGCTAACAGCTTTAGGATTTTCAGAAACTAATTCTTTTAATTCGGTGACATTTATCTAGTGCTTATTAACCTGTTTTGGTACAGTCTACCTATGGCAATATAAAAGTATTCTGGCTTATCGGGTTTTGTGTTTCTAAATGACATGAGGGTCATTTTCCTTTGCTGCTGCTGTCTTTTTATTTTGCATATAAATTTGCTTGCCCGATTTAATAAAGACATTTGTTATCAACCAAAATGCTTATATAACAAATGGGTGTTACCAGAGGTCATACGTATCTAGGCAACATTATGGTCGTTTCCGGTGTTACATTTGGATCCAATTGATGGTTGGTTGCCCTTGTTCTTGCTCACCTAGACAATTATGACTTCTCTTTCATAAAAAAAAAATGTCACACACAAACTGCCATGGATTTCATATTTATCAACATCTGTTTTATGTGCCAGGTTGCATTTTAACTTTCAGTAATCCACTGTGTGAGATGCTTCCTTGTCCTGATGGGGTTTGCCAGCCTTGTCAGGACCAGAGAGACACCTATCTAGCCTTCCAATCAGCCACTTCGATAGGATTTCACAAGCCACCCCCTCCCCTTACTGTTTAATCCTTAATTTCCCACCCACCCCCTCCAGCCGATGGAGATCTTCGTTGATGATGAGACCAAGCTGACCCTTCACGGACTGCAGCAATATTATGTCAAACTCAAGGACAACGAGAAAAATCGCAAACTTTTCGACCTTTTGGATCTTCTGGAGTTTAACCAGGTGACAATCACTGAATTTATATTTTAGATTTCTCTATAGGAAGTTCAATGTAGCATTAAACAGAATTGTATGTATAATACAGACGGCTGTGTGAAACTTAAACATGTGTCAAAAGGTACTTTGGTTTTAAATAAGGACTAAAGAGCAACATCCATTATACAAATTAAATCAGCAATGTAACTTTGCAGGTTATTTTATTTTAAAAATTTTTGTCCGTCTTTGACCAGTTTTTTTTTATTTTTTTTTAACCTTTGCAATTCACTTTAGCTCTACATACTTTGTAAACCCCTTGAGGATCAAACTTCTGGAATAAAAGGGACTCATGACACGAGTGACGTGACATGATTCCCTTTTATTCCAGAATTTTGGTCCTTAAGGGGTTAAAGCAATCTTACTTTCCCCAACATATGTAAGTCTAATGAATCCCAATTGATCTGAAAGAAAAAAGTAAAATTAACAGTGCCATTTTAAATTATTTTACAAACACCAGCAGTAAACAATTAGAGGTCCACCATGTTTCTATCTAGAATTCACGTGATGTGCACCTGTGTAGTCTGTTTGTTAGTGAATAAATGTCTGTTTGAACCCGTGATAGTTAATTTATTTTCCTTTTATGGCATCTGATTTATACAATACTGCAGACCGGAATTTTTGTGTGCTGCCCATCAGTATTAAAGGGATAATCTAAGTGCTATAACTATTGCAGCCTGTTGTAATTTTTATGGTACTATTAGGCTGTGGGCGGCTTCCACCAGTTCTTTGCCAATCAGTTTCTGAGTGTTTTGAGAGTTGCCCAAGTGGCCGTGATTCGGGAAACATCTGGGAAAACATGGTGGATCTAGTGACTGGGATACACAACAGCATTTTTAATAGATCTTAATTATGACCTCTTTTAACCTACCATGTAATGTAATTCACAAAGACCCCCAACGGTGACATCGCTGTGGAAGGGATCCGGTGGGCAGATAAAAATAAGTTCTACTTGATCTTGTCCCTCTTGGGTGTGGCAATCCTCTTCCGGCAGGTCCTCTTTGATGTAATTGCTGTACTCCTGCGCATGGAGCATTGAGGTCTATGGAGGATCCCGCGAGACCCTCCATAGCCAGAGCCATTTGAGACACTCAGTGGTGATGGCTAGCGTGATTGACACTTCCATACAGCTACATCTCCGTATGTCTCTTGATGCATTGGAAAATCAATGAAATACGTACACAGTCAAAATGAGTATTTCATAAAGATGTACAGTGCTGCTTTAGGGTAAATTAGTGCAAACATAGTATTGTATCCTGTTTGCCTGTTAATTTTAAGGTCTATAGTGCCCTTGCTGTGCAGCCCCTGGTCAGCTGACTTACTGGTGCTATAAAGATTTTGTGTATTTTGTACACTAATGACGTTTAACCTCTTAAGGACACGTGACATGTCATGATTCCCTTTTATTCCAGTAGTTTGGTCCTTAACCCCTTAACATACTTGTTTTCCTGGCACTATAGTGCCCTGAGGGTGCCCCCACTCTGTGTCCCGCTCCCGCCGGGCTCTGGGTTGAGGAAGGAGTTAAAATCTTACCTTTCTCCAGTGCCGGGTGGGGAGCTCTCCTCCTCCTTCATATCGACGTCATCGGCTGAATGCGCAGGAGCGCATTTACAATGCTTTCATATGGTCGCTGGCGTCTTCTCACTGTGATTTTCACAGTGAGAAGCACGCAAGCGCCTCTAGCGGCTGTCAATGAGACAGCTGCTAGAGGCTGGATTAACCCATATATAAACAAAGCAGTTTCTCTGAAACTGCTGTGTTTATTAAAAAAAAAAAAAAAAAAAGGGGGTTAACTCTAGCTGGACCAGGCACCCAGGCCACCTCATTAAGCTGAAGTGGTCTGGGTGTCCTTTAAGGGGTTAATAGAAAAAGCTTTCTTTATTTTTAAAAGGTATTAAACTCAGTGTCACTTTTTCTTTTTTTTAATGTTACATGTTTTGTTGTGTGAAAATATTATTTTGATGTGCTATTGCTGTATAAAAGCTGTAAGTGAAATGCATTTTTCAAGTTGGTACTCACCACTGGTTAAAGTAAAACTCCGGTGCCAGGAAAACAGTTTTTATGGCACTGCAGGTCCACTCTCCCTCCCACCCCCTCCAATCCTCGGTTGCTGAAGGGGTAAAAACCCCTTCAGTAACTTAAGAGGCGGCGACGATGTCCCTCATTGCTGCTTCTTCCTCCGCACCGCTCCCCCTGTGATTGCGTCGGCCGGTGGGCGAGACTGATCCCGCCCACCGGTTTGGGAGACCTAATGCGCATGCGCATTAGAGCTCCCCTTGGAAAGCATTGAAAATGCTTTCCTATGGGGAAATGAGCGACGCTGGAGGTCCTCGCATAGCGTGAGGACGTCCAGCGATGCTCTAGCACAGGTTTCCTGTGCTAGAAACCAGGAAACCAGGGTTTGCGTGTTTTCTTTGTAGATATATGTAACATTAGCTTTTAATAAGGGTAAATCTAGTTTGTGCAGCTCCTACACTCCTTTCACTTCTACCTTCGCTCAGGTGAGAAAGTGAGAAATGCCGTATCAGTGTATTTTCATTGAGATGTCTTGCGGACCACCTGCATCTACAGATTGCTCAGTGAGCTATATGACAGCTTATTGAGAAGGCTTTCAAAGACAGGTTCAGAAAGCTGAAGTGCCTTACATGTTTGGAGAGTTCTTTTAACCTAAAATACACAAGCTCTTTAAAGAAAAGAAGAAAAAAAGGGGTCGGGGGAATAGATTTAGAATTGCACATGCATAACACATTTTGTACTGGTAGTGTCCTTTTAAGGGTCATTTAATTTATATAGCACTAAAAATGTTCTTTTTCATGTTGTTAAAGTTCAACTTCTTCCTGTGTTTGCAGTCACATTATGAGAGCTGAGACTCTCGGTGCCTCCTGAAGTGTCGTGGATATATCGCTTCCTCCATCGTTGGTCCAATCCAATGCTTCTCATAGAGGAGCACTGGGAAACTGATGGCATGTGTGGCTAGGTCTTGCTTCTCATAGGAAAGCATCGCTATGAGCTGCATAGACACGTGACTGAGTTTTACTTTGTCTGTGCATCTGAAGACAGACATTAGAGGTGTGTTAAACCCTGCAATGTAAACATTGTAGTTTCTATAAATCTGCAGTGTTTTACATTGTAGATTAGAATGACTGGACCACTGCACACAGACCACTTCAGTGAGATGGGAAGTGGTGTGGGTGCCGATAGTGGTCCTTTAAGTACAAATATCTACATATATTGCAATCCGTTTGAGATTGAATGCTTTCTGTATTTATTACCTCATTGAAGGTCAAATCTTTTACTACAGCATTTCATCTCTTCTGTTAATAAAAATGTGATTGTAATTATGTAACCAGGAGTCTTGAATGATGGATCGTACCATGCCAAAATTCGAAGAGGCTTTATATTGAAACCTTTCGATTATCAGACAGTATTGGAAATTATCTGCATATATAGATTTCAGTATCCTAGAAAACCATGTTTTTTTAATTGTAGCTTGGATTTACTGCTTTTTAGGATATAAATGTCACTGGAAATGACAGACACTGCATTGTTCTGTTAACGGTTCCCCTTTTTTCCTTTTAATTGTATGTACTATGCATTTTATATATAGGATTATAAAATAGCAACAGCATCTGCAGTTTCAGTAGGGAGCTCTCACCAAACATTTGGAGTTACTGTTGAATTTGTTCCGTAGATGCACTGAAAACTAAAGAAGGTTGCACTCTGATATCTAGAGTAGAATGATGGCTATTCACAGGTCCCTCACGTGATCAGTCTGGCTTTATTATGCCTGAGGACAGTGTTAGTGTTTTGCTGACCTATTTGTGTTTGTGTTTCCTTAATTTCTCTGGGTACTGGATCATCTATTCTCTTTATACAGGTGGTGATCTTTGTGAAGTCTGTCCAGCGATGCATCGCGCTAGCACAGCTTTTAGTTGAACAAAACTTTCCAGCAATAGCCATTCACCGTGGAATGTCACAGGAGGAAAGGCAAGTGTTTTTTTGTTTTTTTTTGGTTGGTGATCTAAAAAGATTGTTTTGTGATAAATAATTCCTATATCCTCTGCTTGCAGGCTCTCCCGTTATCAGCAATTCAAGGATTTTCAGCGTAGGATCCTGGTAGCTACCAACCTCTTTGGGCGTGGGATGGACATTGAAAGAGTGAACATTGCATTCAACTATGATATGCCAGAAGATTCGGACACTTACCTGCACAGAGTATGCTTAATATAGCCTACAGTATGTCATTCTCTGTCACTGTGCACTTTCTTATACTTCCATTAATTTCTTACTGTTTCCAACAGGTGGCCCGTGCTGGCCGATTTGGCACAAAGGGTTTGGCCATCACATTCGTCTCCGATGAGGGAGATGCCAAAATCCTCAATGAAGTTCAAGATCGGTTTGAAGTCAACATCAGTGAATTGCCTGATGAAATCGATATCTCTTCATACAGTAAGTCTGCTTTCCTGCACCAGTCACTTTGTCCAGTCCTTAAGTTATTTCCATCTAACGTCTTCATGTCTCCTTCTCACTTCTAGTTGAACAGACGCGGTGAACTTGGACAACTGCTCAACGTCCTTCAGTCTGCTGTATACCACCTGCACCTAAAGCTCCTCCCTACACCTGATTTCGGGAGGGCCGAAGGAATCACCAACTTAACCTGTTAAGATGAAGAGTTTGGTGCTTTAAAACTGTATCCAGACCACTTCCGTGTACTGTACTAAAAGCAGATTGTTAATCCCTTATCCTGGTGAGGACCCACAGACTGTCTCTCAATTGGACATTTGGAGTAAGGGTGGTGGGTGCTGCTACAAACCTATGTCAAAGGATGTTAATAAGGAAGCAAATTCTGTGGGTTCCTTGTATAGTGTTACAGTTGGTTATAGTTTGTTTGTTTTTATTTTAACTCCATTAAGGGAGGACCAGTTTGTTTGTTTTTAGTGACAACCCTGCCCTGCACATGACCAGTGCTGTCACCTTCCTGTATTTTGTGACTTCTAACTTGAAATTGTCACACCAAAAAAGAGAAAAAAATTAAACACTACACAATTCTCATTTCTCTTTTACCCATTTGCTGTTTTCTCACGCACAGGAAAATAATCATGCAGTATGTTCAATACACATAATCCAGTTTAGTGGGAAATGTATTTTATTAATTGAGAACTAATGTTGGCACAGTTTCCTTGGCCAGGATGCTGTGCCAGTTTTTGGGCAACAATGATCTTGGTAACTAGTTATTGGACAAATGGATGGTAGAAGATTACAGGGTTTTCAGTGAAGGAGGGGTATATTTCCTAACCCTAGGTAGTTCATAATTTATCATTCAAATGCATACTCACACATTGGGTGGGGGACTGAATCCTACTAAATTATGTATTAAAATAGAACCAAAGGGAGGAACGTCTAAGGCCCGTCTGCCTCTAACTTTATGATGCTTTAGTATAAGTTAATTGACATTGCCTTCAATCTATGAGATTACTGATCCCATAACACTATCATCTACAGTCAGTAGGCATTACAATTCATGGATATCCACTGCTTCTGGAAATTGTAAAGATTAATTCTCTGTGCAAAGAAATCCTCTTCTTTTAGACACATTTACAATAATTTGAACTTCTACTGCAAAGCCATGGTTCTGGTAGACACCTGTGATTTCTTCATGTGGTGAAGTGTTTTTAACTCAGTCCACTGCTGCTCCAAGACTCATGGCCTCTACATACCAGGCTGGGAGAATGTGGTATGTTGGGTCGGTGTGAACTGAGAAAGTGACATCAGAGCCTGGCTCCCAGGAGAAAAGGTAAACGACTCTGAAGAGGAAAGATAAATACAGAGTGACTTAACATGGTTTCCCAATCAGTTTAGTCATTTCTTAGGATGTTAGTGAGATGAAGAGATAAAAATATTGAATGCGAGGTCCTTACCCAGGGTCATCCCTTGTTACCACATTTTTGACAAAAGACAGGAACGCATCACAGAAATTCATACAGACGGCTGGGTCCCAGCTATGCTGATCTGTCTGGATACAAAATAAAGCATAAATACAATAGCTACCATCTTAAAGTGAGATATAAGTCTTCATTTCGGCTCCATACTCCTCTGTGTATTACCCGAATTAGATGTGGGATGTCTGACGTTCGATAGTCCTGCAGAGATACAACCTTTCCTTCCGGGTTGCGGAAACCAGCAACAATGAGTGGGATTCCGAGAAGAAATGACTGGCACCACCATTTTAGAAGTTTATACCTGATTGGGAAAAGATGAGCAAGATTTTTTTTTTCTTCTCCCCATTTTATACATAAATTCACATTTTTATTGTACAAAAGGAAGGTGAAGATGAAAATGGTAACTATGCAACGACACAGTGAAACATACTGCTGTGTTCTATGGAACTTTGTTATGCACAGTATGGCAGGAGGGTGTCCAACTCACATCGGAAGTGTTAAAGTTATTCAATAAAGTGTGAAGTGTTGGAAATTAAAATATAATTTACATTTGTAAGCCAAAATAGTAAAACAGAAATCTAGCGTTTTCTCCCCCCACCCCCTCCCCAATTCAGCAATTATGAAAAAACAAAACGAAAACGTTGCTGAAAATGGATTGTATCAAAACCCAACAATTTCTCAATACTATGTATGTTATATATATGATATTGTGGCAGGCAGCAGTTTGACCACAAACGGTTACTCCATCCTCTGTACCTGTTGAAACTACGCTGTTGGTGTGGGTTCCGGATCTGGGCGCTGCTTTTCAGCTCCACGTAGCAGGATGGTGGGTTAGAATTGGTGGCTAATGGGTCACAGCAGTCCACCTCTCCTGATATCAGAAAGGAGTGCGTGGACAGGCGTGCAAACAGGACACTGCAGAAGGCCTCGTTAGTATTAACTACTGCAGAGGGAGAGGGCTGACCATCAGGTGAATCTGAGAAGTGAGAGCGCATCATTTAGAAACCACAAACAGAAAATACTATTTGATAAAAGATAACCTGGAAATAATTTAAATAAATGAAATATGGAGAAAAGCAAGGATGTGGGTGGATGGGAATAAAATAACATTTATACAGTATAAAATTCTCAGAAGTGGCTGGTTGAATATATACAGGTAACAACAAACCAGCACACAGGTGGCTTTCAAACTTGTATCCAGAGTACATCAGCTTTTCCTGTATTGTAGTCCGCTCTTCCCTCTTCTTCCGGGCAACCTCTGTTTCTCGCTCACTTATATACAGAGTTCCCTTGAACAGAGAAACTGCTAGGAGCCACCCCTCTTGGCTCTCATATGGTGTACAAAGAACTTTGGTGAGATGACCCCTCCAGGTAACAAAGTCGCGGTCTAACTGCCTGCAGAATGATTAAGATATTGCATTAGAGAAGAGATATGCAAGTTCTGTTCTCTCCCATCTCTACAGTTGCAGAACTATCCATTACAACGTTCCAGTGTTTTCCAATTCATTAGTCATCCCTGCAGTTGCCATGGTCATTAAGCTCATCCTGATTTAGCTATGGTTCCTCCACCTAGCCCATCTGCTACTGTCCTCTTCATCCTAACTATATCTTAAGCCTTTCTTTAATAATCCTCAACAGCTCCTGACTTTCACAGATTGGGAAGAAAGGCTAAATATTTTCTCAAGTAAAAAAAAAAAAAAAAAAAATGTTACTCCTGTCTTGGAAACAAAAGCATATTTCTGGCATTGTGCTTTCAGACAGGACCAGTATAGTGGACAAGTGCGAACTGAAACAACCATTTGTATAGACCAGTGAGTCTAATCTTGACACCATAAATTGTTTCTGGACTACATTTCCCATGATGCTCAGATAGCTTTTAGAGGTGTCAAGGTTAGCCATTACTGGTATAGACTTATTGATTTAGTGGATAAAGCACCAGTAAATATTATAGTACGACACACCTGGTTACAATGAGTACCATGTTCAATGAAGGCCTTGGTTTAATATTTTGGATCAATTTTTAAAATGAATTAATATTCTGAATGATATTTAATATTCTGTTTGTTTTTTTTAAAATTGTATAGATGATATGAAAATATGAAATAATTTAAAAATTTCCTCAAAATATTAAATAGTCAGAATAATTTCAGTATGCCGTATGTGTTTAGGGTTATGGTGTTAAATCTTTGAGAACACCTTATAGATCTGTGCATCTCATCTATGGATTGAACCAAATTCTGATCTGCAAAGAAATTTAAATTAATTTTCTCAGTTGAAGATTGTGTCTGATAATTCAATGGCAGCACAAATGCTTAAGTGACCATAGTTCTCTAGACTAACTAGTCTTGCTTACAGTAAAGGGTTTTTATTTATAAAACCATTATTTAACAATGACCAACTTTACTCGAGTACAGGTTGTGCATGTTGATGTCAGATTTTATTTGCATTGTCCAGTGGATATTCTGATATTTAAGTAGGAGATTATGTAATTCAGAATTGATGTAATTTATTTGCCTTTCTGCTACCATTCCCCAAATAAAATGAGAACCCCCCACCCACCCTTATTTAACCCTTTTAACACCTGCTCCCGCTTCCTCCCAGAAGTCCTTTGTTTTCTTTAACCCAGGTCAGAATGTGGAGCAAGCCTTCCTTTTCATTTTCATCCCTTCGCACATAGCGATTTTCATATCCATCCATAAGATCCCATCCAGGTGAGGCCCCTTTTTGTACACTAGATGGGGGACGGTAGTATCGCAATTTTCTTGAATCTCCATGGTAGCAACGGTGACTATCCAGTGAGAAACGACCCACCTCAGAAGGCAGTCTAAAGAAGGGAAAAGCTCCCTGGTAGGACATAGGGTGGGTGTTCAGAGATGTAGTGGACAGATAAGGACGCTTGGATGGTTGGGCCATCAAGGGAGTCGGACAGTGTTCTCTCTTGGGTGGCCTGACTGATTAAATAGAAAGAAGAGTGTTAAGAAATGTTTATCTAAAAGGTATATAAACAGCGAGTAATAAGCATTTCATATAAAGCTGTAGATGGATTAGTACGCTCTAAGCATATATCTAATGGATGATTTAAAGCTTTTCCAATAATTCAGACCCAAGTCAAAAGCCCTCTACATGGTTCTTTGTTAACACTGATACATCCTGTGTAAATATACTTAAAGGACAATTATTTTTTACTATAATAATCCTTTCATCAAATGATTCAGACAGTGTTTAAAAACCGACCGTCTCTAGTAAAGCTAGTAAGGAGAATCTTTTTTGGGTTATACTTTATTTAATAATATATAGCGCCTTTCAAAACCTGATGATTATTATATTAAATATAGTTTTGACAGTTGTCCTTTAAATATTGCGTTACAAAGAGCATTCACATAATATAATGATCATAACATGCACCTCTAGTCCTGTATATAGAAACAGAGCCTGTGTGACGAATAGAGAGAAGATGATGTCATTGTTATCACCTCCTTTACTGGTTGCATGATGATAACAGAAGATCAGATACATTCTCTATACAGATTCCAGCTACAGACAGCTCTGCTTCTATAGGAGTTTATCTGACCTACTCCAGGGAGGCTGTGAGGCCCGCTGAGTGTAATATATATTAATCTGAGTGGTTTTATTATATTGGATATAATGTATAAAGCACAGACTGGACAATACACAGTAACCTGTATACACTGTGAATACTGCTGGGGGGGGGAGGCGTGTGTGTGTGTGTGTATATATATATATATATATATATATATATATATATATATATATATATATATGTAACCTGTACACTTAAATACTGCTGGGGGGAGGGGTATATATGTATGTATCAGTAAACTGTTTACATTGTAAATACCACTGGGTGTGTGTGTGTGTGTATATGTATGTATACACTGTAAATACTGGTGTGTGTGTGTATATGTATGTATGTATACACTGTAAATACTGCTGGGGGTGTGTGGGGGGGGGTGTATGTATACACTGTAAATACTGCTGGGTGTGTGTGTGTATATATATATGTATGTATACACTGTAAATACTGCTGTTGGTGTGTATGTATGTATACACTGTAAATACTGCTGGGTGTGTGTGTGTGTGTATGTATACACTGTAAATACTGCTGGGTGTGTGTGTGTATATATATATATATATATATATACACTGTAAATACTGCTGGGTGTGTGTATGTATACACTGTAAATACTGCTGGGTGTGTGTGTGTATATATATATATCTATATATATATGTATGTATACACTGTAAATACTGCTGGTGGTGTGTATGTATGTATACACTGTAAATACTGCTGGGTGTGTGTGTGTGTATACACTGTAAATACTGCTGGGTGTGTGTGTGTGTGTGTGTATATATTTATACACTGTAAATACTGCTGGGGGTGTGTGTGTGTGTATATATTTATACACTGTAAATACTATAGGTATGTATACACTGTAAATACTGCTGGGGGTGTGTGTGTATATACACTGTAAATACTGCTGGTGGTGTGTATGTATGTATACACTGTAAATACTGCTGGGTGTGTGTGTGTATATATATATATATGTATGTATACACTGTAAATACTGCTGGGTGTGTGTGTGTGTGTGTGTATATATTTATACACTGTAAATACTGCTGGGGGTGTGGGGGTGTGTGTGTATACACTGTAAATACTGCTGGGGGTGTGTGTATATATTTATACACTGTAAATACTGCTGGGTGTGTGTGTGTGTGTATATATGTATACACTGTAAATACTGCTGGATACTATAAATGTAAAATCCTTCCTTACCCAGGTTCTCTGTCTTTGTTTTTACATTTGATTCCATGGCTACTTTTATTTTCTTTTGGCATTTCCAATTTCTGCGCCCAGGGTCTGTGATGACGTATAATCTAGTGGCCGGAAGTGCTCGTTAAAGGGCTGCTGCAAACTATGACGTACAACTCACGAGCAGCCATGTTTGTACACCTGGGCGTTCACAGTGGTTCCGGGGTCACGGGGTATCCACGCCCCTTAAAGAGACCGCTGTCAGCCATCTTGTTACACCCAGTGCTGCTGTGTGAGTAGGGTGCGTGAAGCTGGCGGATGTGGGTGTACTGTTGTATACAGAATAGCTGGGGTTGGAAAGGAAACTGCAGGTAAGATCAATAACCTGAATTAAACATAAATAGTAATGGCATTATGGTAAAGATAAATATATGGAACTGCTATTTAATAAAATACAAACAAATAAAGCTTAATATCATAAAGTAATCAGCAATAGCATAGTTTACTCTCTATATCTGATCCATTGCTCATGTTATCTCTGTCTTACATGGAATAATCACCTAATTCATGGTAACTCAGCTATTGCTAATTGTCTTTTTATCCCACAGCAAGTAAACATTTGTTGGTGGGATATGTAATCTATTTAATTATTATTTATTTTTTCTCTATAGCCCTTTCCCCACCCCAAACCCTTTTCCCCTATCTCGATGAACCGCAAGCGGAAGTTAACATGTGAGACTTTCAACATTAAGAAGCAAAGAGATGGTGCAAAGGGATCCACATCAAGTTTAAATGGGTCTCCATCCCCTTATCCAGGTAATGTTTGGTGACATTCACAATTATGCAGTATTTAAATAGAGAGGGCTGTTTGGTATTACACGGCATAGAGCAAGAGTCCTATTTTTTAATGCCTTACTGTAGAAAGTGTAGCATACACTACTAGTATGTTGGCTGATAATGTATTCAGTCCATGAACCTAAAGGACAAACTCATGTCTTCACGAAATAGGAATAACACATGTCATATGCCCAGATAAATGTTTTTCTTTTTTTGCTGTAATTTTTTTAAACTTCCTTTTTAAATATAACTCTAACTCCTTAACTGTCCAGATTTCACAGAGGACCCTCAGGGAGCTGTCCCCTACTTATGTGCTCTCTTCCCTCGAAAACTATTCAATGATACTTTTCCCCCTCTGTTCCTGAGACACCAACTCTACAGCCTTATACAGGACCGCACTGCAGTCGACAGGCTCTTGGTGCGTATAAAGTAATCTTTCTGGTTCTACAAGCTCATGTCCAATTTGTTTAAAGAAGTGAAAAATATAGAACACCAACAATTCTTTAGAAATTCTGTATTATTTTTAATTTATCAGATTTCGTTGCTCATTTTGTAATAAAGAAGGATAGTAAGGGTAGATAAAACTGGGACAGAAGGGGGGGGCGGCATTCGACTTGTAGCGTATTTAGTTTGGCTGGCCATTCACGCTGGAGGCTAGCTTCCTAGAGGGCAGTTTTCCCAAGGTTCCCATATCCTCTGGAAGGTTTTTAAAGTGCCTCTAACTCTAGCTGTTAGATCGTCCATTAGGTGAACCTTTTTTATCCTATTTATCACCCCTGCTATGGATGGTGTGTTTGGCTTAAGCCACTCTGAGGCTACGGCTCTCCGTGCTGCTAATGTAATTTTGTGAATAAGCTTTTGTTCGTACCTAGTCCATCCATCTATGGGCCTGCTTAATAAGTATAGCCATGGATCTACCTCAGGGGCTCTTGAAAAAACCTGTGCTAGTAGGGCCTTTATCCGGTTCCAGAAAGTGACCATTTGTGGACATTCCCACCACATGTGGATATATGTCCCTCTCAATCCATAGCCTCTCCAACACTCATCCGTAGTGTTTTTATTTTTTTTAATTTGATATAGTTTGACTGGGGTAGTGTACCAACGGAGCATTGTTTTCATTGATTGTTCCTGTAGAGTGACACACACCGATGAGGTGTGATTAGCCTCCCAGATCTCCTGCCACTCTATATCCTCTAACTCCTCCCCTAGGTCTCTCTCCCAATGATCCGTATAGGACACCTTTCCCCAGTCTCTAGTTTCTGAGTAGAGGTGGGCATACATGAGCGTAATAAGACCTCTTGGTATGGCTTCTTGTAAGCATATGTGTTCAAAGAAGGACATCTTTTGTCGAGCTGCCGCTCTTATGTGTGGTAGTTTAGCAAAGTCCCTGATTTGGATATATCTAAAAAAAATCAGATGGGGTAAGGTGACCCCTTTGTCTCAGCGTATCGAAAGGTATAACCTCCATGTCTTGGTATAATTGGCAGATGCGCTGTAGCCCTATTCGCTCCAGGTTTTTGAAGTCTCTGGCTGCCATTCCAGGGGTGAAAGCCCTATTTCGGAGGTATGGCATAAGTGGGGACGGGTTGGATGCTAAGTTAAACTTGTAGTTCAAGGCATCCCAGACTCTCAGGGAGTTGAGGATGGTTGGACAGGTGGCTCTAATCATGGGTCTGTTCTCTTTGGGTACCCATATGAGGAATTGTGGCAGGTCTGCCCCCGCCACATTGCCACTTGCGTCAACTGCGTTGCTATATAATGGTAATAAAGGTTAGGTAAGCCAAGTCCCCCCCTTGTCTTAGGTCTGTATAATATGTACCTTGAAATTCTATGTCTTTTATTCTGCCAGACAAAGGACCCTATGGCCTGCTGCAGGGGCTGAAAGTGAGATTTGGAGACGCGGATAGGCAGCACCTGGAACAGGAAAAGGATCCTGGGCAAGACATTCATTTTAACGGCATGGATTCTTCCTATCCATGAGATAGGCCTGCCTCCCCACGTCTCCATCTCCCGCACCAGTTGTTTCATCAATGGTATATAATTTTAGGTCGTATAGTTTCTCTGGTTTTGCCGTCGGATGCCTAGGTATTTAAGTGCCTGGTGCTCAATTCGTATGTCGTGCGTATCATGTATCGATGTTGTTTCTGTCGCTGGAACACCTATAGGGAGTGCACTGGACTTTGCCATATTGGCTTTGTAGCCCGATATTGCCCCATAATCCCCTAGTACCCTCTGCAAGGCCTCCATCGAGTTCACCGGGTCAGTGAGTGCCAAGAGCACATCATCCACATAGGCTGAGACCAAGAATTTTCTCCCTCCCACGTTTACCCCCTTCACTTCCTGGTGTTGCTGCAGCGCCTGGTGTAGGGGTTCTAGCAAAAAAACGTATAAAAGGGGAGAGAGGGGACCTCCCTGCCTAGTCCCATTAGAGAGTTGGAAAGGGCGTAGCGGGGCCCCTTAAATTTTCACCTGTGCTCTTACATTGCTATACATGGCTCTGAGCAAGGCCATAAACTGTTCTGGGAAACCCAGGTGTTTCAGGAGCGTAAACAAATAAGGCCACTTCACTCTATCGAACGCTTTTTCCTCGTCAAGTGATACTAGTAGCGTTGGGGTCCGAGTGACTGTCTGCTTCCATATCAGGTCTGTGTTCCTTCGGGTGAGTGATTATATATTGATTTATAAAAGTCTGTGAATACATCGGCAACGTCTTTGGGCATGGTTTTTATGGAGTTATCGGGGTGGCGTATAGATGTAATGTGTCCACGTCTTATTCTGGGTTTAAGGACCCTGGCTAGCAAGGTATCCATCTTGTTAGCATGTTCATAAAATGTTCTTCTGGACCACGTCATGGATCTCGCCGTGTCATCTAGCAGTAAGGTGCGTATGTTATGTCGTACCTCTTCTAACTTTGGTGGGTTTTTATGTACAAATCCCCTTCAAATGAGCAACTCAATCTGATAAAATAAAAATGCTCAATTTCTAGAGAACACGACTGCTTCACTTTTTAACGTTATCATTTTCCCCCCTTTGTTCTGTGTAATTAGAAGACATGTGGGTATAATAGCTGTCTATTTCACTATCATACTGTGGTCCACTCTGTGTCCTCATTTATATTAGTGTAATAACAAATGTCTCTGTGCTGTATTTTAATGTTTTTTTTTTGTTTTGTTTTTTATACAGTGTTTGGCAGCTCACAGTACAAATATATAAATTGTTAAAGACTCTTATTGAACAGTGTGTTGTCTCGGGCTAGGAGTGAGTTCAACCCCAAATATTTCCACAGAGCCTCTGAGTGTTTATTTTCTAACAAAACAGTGAAACGATCCAGTAGCTTGGCTTGATTGTGTCTGTGGTTTATCTGTTTATCTCTCTTGTGATAAGCGGGAGCTCAGCTAGGTTGTGTGCACAACTTTGACAAGTTGATACTGGACAGCTTAGAATGGATTATTTGTGCTGCTTGATTAACAGCTGTTTTAGGGCTGTGGTAATTTTTGTTCAAATTGCAGTTCTACGCCATTCTGAGGGCTGACAGTGAGTGCAGGATAGTATCTGCAATATCAACTTTCCAATAATGTAAAGTTGAGATGGTGCTTAGAATGATCCTTTAAAGAATGACGAATTGTGGAAATGTAACTTTTTAGATGTGAAATTATAAGATAATTCAAAGGCAGCATTTTTGACGGCTCCTTTTCTCATCGTCCTAAAAGTTTTTGCAAATTTTTTTACAGTAATGAACTAATTGATCTTGGAAATCATCTGCCAATTGTAGGAACTCTTATAAAATTAGTAGCTAGGAAACTGGATATTAGATCTTACACGTGCTGGTGGGAATGCTGCGCGGATACATGTATGTTATAAGTGGATAGAAAATGTTTAGTGGTTTATGGAATATGTGTTATTGATTATTAACCTGCTGAAATGTTTGCCCCATGTGATGCCAGGGTGAGATGGTAACATTTAATGGTGTTTAGTTTAAATAATGTGATATGTAGAGTTATTTACTGAAGTGAGAATTGAAAGTGAATTTCAAATTTAAAGGGACACTATATTCATCAGAACTGCTACGGCTTAATGTAGTTGTTATGATGTGTATAGCATGTCCCTGCAGGCATTTTACTGTAAGCCCTGCCTTTGCAGAAAAGGCAGTGTTTACATTAATGCCTACCCCTCCAGTGACTATAACTCACACGGCCACTAGAGGTGACCTGGATCAGTGACGTTCAGCAATGACGTTTGACATCTCCATGCTCTATGTGGAAATGCTGTACATTCCTCATAGAGATGCATTGATGTAATTTGCTTATGGGAAAGAATTGGATTGGTTGGGATCATTAATTTGATGATGATCTCAGCCAAGGAAACAGAT